CACAGGTCTGATGCAGTGTGTGGTCCAAACATCCATTAACCTCCATGGAAATAAAAAGAAGGAAATTTATGAAATAAGCTAGTTTGCCTCATCTCATCTCCCTTTGGTAATCTGTCTGGGATTTCGCCCATTTACTAATATTTCTACAGTAGAGTTCCTACTGACCAGTTAGTGAACAGAAGGAGAAGTGAGCATTGTTGTTGATTTTCTGGCAGCAGAGGACGTGAAGAAAGCCGTTCAGTCCGTGTTGGACAAATTTCCACATATCAGATTAACATTAAGAGCTGACAAGTTCATTGTCAGCTCTTCTCTCTTCAATGAAGAATGGTTGTTTACGACACAAGTAATTTCCAGTAAGCTTCAGCGTGTCAAGCTGCCACATTACATAAATCATGGCCAAACGTTAGAAAGTGGGAAAAATGTAGATCTTTAACACAGTCCACGTTTCCAAGAAGCAAACCCTTCACAACAGTCAAGGGTCCCGACCCTCTAAACGAAGCAAAGTGTAGAACAAGGTGTCAACCAGGCTAGTAATAAGCTGATTTTTTCTGATTTAAGTTTAATATTTATCTTAGTAGGGTTGCACTGATTACAGTTTTCTAACTGATTTTGTTTTTTTATAACCAACACTGTCAGGTGTTAAAAGGTCACAACACACTTTCAATGTATATAGTGACAAAGGTGCTAAGTTAACAGTGGCATGATCTGATGGGCAGGTCTGTGTAAGCCTCTAACAGCAGAGCTGCAGATTTTCAGACCTTTGGGGGCAGATGAGATCAGCCATCAATCTTATCCTACTACTATAGCTCTCATGTCAGACACGAATACACAGCAGGTTACCTTCTGGAGAGATGCTTTATGTGTGGAAAAAGCCCTGACTCCAAGCTATTCCACACATTATTTTGGCTTTCTGTTCCCTTCACATGTCCCTCATTCTGTATTCCTTTAAACAGCTTCCATCATGATGTGCAGGTGGATGAGATCAAAGTAGGAAGTGTTTTACACTGATAGAAAATTACAGCATGAACATCTGTCCCTTCAGCCTGGGTCTTTCAGAAAGTAGACCCAGGCTGGATCTTCTTTCTGAAAGACAACATTTCTACTAGCAGTGCCACTGTACGACCGAGTCTCATAGTTATTAAAAAACCACACACAAATAGACACAAAGGCATAATAAACTATCAAAGGCTTTTAAAAACAGGGTGGATTCTCCAGGATCCATCTGTGGTTTATTTTGGCTGCCGGAGAGAAAGAAACTTTCAGGAAGGCTGACGGAAGAACAACATTTGTTTAGTCTTTTAGTATGTGACACCTGTCATGGAACATGACTTTGCAACTGTTAAAAACTTTAAGACAATCTCAGAGTTAAATGGAAAAGAAAGAAGAGGGTCTCAATTACCTCCATGCTCTGCAAATTTGGGGTTGCTCAGGATCTGTTTGCAGAACTTCAGCCCGTTTCTGTACTGTTTGTGTTCGTAACACCTCTGGAAGGAGAGAGAGAAAAGAATCACAGCATGCCACCATGACAGTTCAGTCAGAGCTAAACCGTTCCAGGAGTTTTCCTCCAGCTGTTACTGACGGGAACAGTCCTCATCCTGATGGGACCGAGATGTCAGCACATCTGGAGCAACGGTCCAGCTCTGCTGTTGAGTTTTAATTAAACTCTAAACTGTTTCTTACTACTGGTAAAGGGAAGTGTATCCAGTTGGAGATGAACTTAACTGACTTCACTTCTCTGTGACAACAGTGCTAAACAGAACCACAACACCCCTGTGCTCTTCAGCGACTCTCACGACTCAACAATCCAACTTTAGGCAGACAAACTGCCGCAGGTTTCCTCTTCAACTTGGGCATGGCTGTCATGTGTCAACTATTCATTGATACGCTTCGGCTCTGTTGACAGGTCAAAAGACATCTGCAGCATCCCAGAATAACCATCCAGCGGTGCTGTTTCTCTCCTGCTCTATCACAGCTGATGATTAACAACACAGGCTTCATAATTGCTGGGCTCGTGATGAGTTAGCTACCTGCTTTATGTGTGCTACAACGGGCCACTGCTTAGCACTGCAATAAGCTAACACAAAGTGCTTACCAAAATTCTTTTGAAGAGAGCATTCTCTTTCTGCGGCAGAGTCACTGAGGGCATGGCGGTGGTTTCCTACTCCACTGTTGGTTTGCACATGAACGAAACTCCTTTAGAAACAGAGATACTGGACTTTATCGGGACCTTCAGGCACCTCTTTCTCACGTGTTTAAGCCGAGGCCCCCCTTCCGAGCAAAATGGCCGCTACGCTTCTCCTCCGGGTCATGTTGAATTCCTGAGTTCATTCCTTACAAGCTAGCCGGTGTGAAGCCTGAGTGTAAGAGATGATGAGCGGCAAAACGAAAAGTTTCTAGATTATACATTCGGCAAAAAATAAAGAAATAATAATAATAATAATAATAATAATAATAATAATAATAATAATAATAATAATAATAATAATAATACATTATATAAATATATTAACAACACATTATACATATATATTTATAGAGTCTGGGATGTATCTGCAGAGTTATCGGAATTATTTATTACATTTAAAACAGCCGTTTCTCTTTGGCATCGACAGAATCCCATTTTGTTCACATTAACAGTGTGGTTTATGCGGTCGTCGTTGTTAGCAGAGTGTGCTTCGCATATGTCTGTGTTGATAGTCTGATGGAAATTCAATGCAAACTCCACCTGCCCGGCGCGCCTCTCTTCAGGCCGACTGTTAAATAGTGCGCACCCACTGTCAAACGACCGGCTAGCATTCTATAGTAGCAACGGTCCGTGGACGCACAGGAAAGACTTCAGTCTGAGCCTGAACAAATTCTGCTGGACATATTTATATGGGGGAATTTTTTCTGCCATAATCCAAGAGCACATATGTTTATTGCTTCAAGCAGAGACTAAGTGTGAGCGGGAGGAGACGTTTTGTGTACAATCACTACAAGTTTTGAGAAGTAAGACATGAAGTCCTGTTCAAGAACACTGAACATGTGTGTTCTCGGATTAAGGCAGGAAAATTCCTCCATACTTCTTCAGGTGGCGCTGTTTCGCCTTTAACAACAGGAATATATTTACAAACAGGAATATGCTTTGGTTGAGATTGCACAGATAGTCTGTTGAAATAAGAGTAGCAGTTCTTAAACATATTTTTTCTGAAGTAAAAGTAAAACGTAGCCATCCAAGAAATTACTCAGGTAAGAGTAAAAAAAAGTAGACTGCATACTGAATGTATTGAGCTTTGGTCACATGATCAATCATTTAATATTTTAAAATTACATAATCAGACCAAAATATAAAGTTAAGTGGATTTTTGTGGGGAATTTTAAACTGATGAAATTCTTACAAAACCTGCAGGTTTTTTAGTGTGTGTGTGTGTGTGTGTGTGTGTGTGTGTGTGTGTGTGTGTGTGTGTGTGTGTGTGTGTGTGTGTGTGTGTGTGTGTGTGTGCGTGCGTGCGTGCGTGCGTGTGTGTGTGTGTGTGTGTGTGTGTGTGTGTGTGCGTGCATGCGTGTGTGTGAGTGTGTGCGCGCGGGCGTCCGTGTTAGGTGAATTTTGGTTAAAACATATCTGTCCTTCATTCAGTGAAGTTACTCACAGTGGGTAGAAAATCCAGAAATTTTACTCAAGTAAGAGTAGTGATACTTATAAAATTACTCAAGTAAAAATAAAAAATTCAGCATAGTAAAATAATCCTGAAAGAGCTTTTTTAAAAAATAAAAAAACAGTTACAAGTTCAGTTAATGTAACTAGTTGCGACCCAACTCTGATGTTAGTCAAACACTATATTTATATAGTGTTTATTTATATATTGTTTATATCTCTGCAGAGTGATTGGTTTTAAATATGTAGCAGAGAGAAAGGCGTGAAATAACGGTTTACTTGAGGATACGTCACTTCTGATAACAGCCATCACAAGCAGTGATTAACTGTTTTGATGCGTCTCAACAGCGCCTCCTAAAGTTAAAATAGCTGTACTACACTGGCACGATAACGTTCCTGCTCATATTTTAAAAACTCCGTAGCGTGCCGCTCCGAAAAACGATGAAGTTTTATGACACTTAATTCCCTCAAAAGCACATTTCATTCGCACATTTCATTCGTAGTACAATTAAAATCTACTTTACAATGTTTCAATTTACATTACTTTACGATTATGTCAAATAATCATGTTAACAGACAAGATATATTAAGACTAAATACTTTTTACAGTCAACACACCTTTTGACTCTTCGGAGAGTCTGTCAGTATGAAACAATGTTTCTTGCTCTGTGAAAAACAAAGTGCCGGACCAACTACTGTAATAACTGTTGTGTATCTTACTAACAGCTATATTTGGGAGAAAACAAACTATCTGTTATTCAGCACCACTAGACAGAAAGTGCTAAATCCAAAATTAAACGCATACAGCTCAAAGCAGAAGTTAAAATTACTGGCAAAACCAAACACTTTCACATTTTCTATAATAAAAGCACTCCAAAGCATTCCAAAGATTTTGTGTTATTAATATTAAACATGAAAAGAAAGACAAATGAACCTTTCTCTTACTCTGTTTTTCCCTTTAACAAATGAATATTTTGTCATATTTTGTGTTTTGGAACGTACGAAGCTCCGATTGCCAAATTATATTTTAAATTATGCACAGTGCCAGGAGGATAAAATAGTTGCCACTATTAATTGTTTCTTATATGTTCAAGTGTTTACTGTTCCTTGTTTTTCTCAAAATAACCTGAAAGAAAGTTACTTTAAAAAAACAAACGCAAAAGCATTATGTTGGAAATAAAATATTTAATTCCGCAATGAATATTTTATTTTCCTCCTTTTATTTATTTATTTATTTATTTTTTAAATGTCAGCAATACCAAACAAGATATTTCAAATCTTAATTGAACTTTTCCCCAGCTTGTTCGAGTTCTCGGCGCTCTGTAAGCCAGGCCTTCGAGGCTGTTCTCGGCGCTCTGTTAGTCAGGCCTTCCAGGCTGTGAAATCAATCGCAGTCCACAGTCAGTGTCAGGCAGGCGGCATTAAACGCATCACCGCGGCAGCTGTCAGTGCTAAAATGACGTTCAGCCGCTTGTTATCCCGAGTTGTTCTCATTAACAGGGGTGAGTTAGTTACAGCGTGCCCTTTAAGAATGTTTGAAGTTTAATGTGGCTATTCTTAATTAAAACACCGAGGTTGTTTTCCTACCTGACCTTAGCGTAGCATTAGCATTAGCGCAACATTTTCTCACAGGGAACTTCTTTTCTCACTGCAAAGATTAGAATTTAGTGGTAACCGTGACGCATTTATTGTAGCCAGTTTAACCTCCAGATCATGGAAATCCCTGTCCCATTGTTTCAATCTTATCACAGCTGCCCTTTCATTTCATTTGCTGTCATGTCTGCTGGCTTAGAGAAAGATTTACTAACAGAATCTACTGATCAGGATGTATTGTGTTATTAATGAATTGGTTATAGTTCATTAACTGAACTTTAGTTGAATTCTGATTGTATTTTATGAACTGATTTAGAGATGGAATATACATCCACATTTGATTGCGCACATATAAACACACACAATTTAAGTTTAAATCTTATTAAAATAAATTAACTGGCAACAACAAATAATTTTATTACACTATGCACTGATCTCCTTCACATTGTTCAGAACTGACTTGGTTCTACTCTGATTTATTATTTATCCAGTCTATTTTTACTAACATTTTAAATGCTGTATTTTTAACAGTGGTCAAAACAAAGGTCAGACCAACCCCCCCGCACCTCCCCTCCCATTCAGGTTGTTTCTGTGTTTACACTTCTTTTAAAAATGTCTTGCTTTCATTGTCCCCAAATCTTTTTTCTTGTGCTATCGTCCTGTTTCACGGTAGTGTTTATTGTTCATTAAAAAGAGTGTGTTTGAATTCTTTCAGGCGGATCCAGATCAGCCTTCACTAGCTCCAAGACGGACACAACCAAACCCAACTGGCTAAAAGTGGGTCTTGCGTTTGGAACGTCGGCTTTTTTCTGGGGGCTGGTGAGCACCAATGTTTGTGCACTAAGAGACATAAGTTGACATGGCAGCTACATGATGGTGTCTGTAGATGAGAATGAGTCGGGTCATAAAGTGATGTACATGTAGGGGTGCACCGATAAAATCTGCTCTGATTTCTTTAATTTTAGGAGATCCGTGATTGGCCAATACTTGGATATGAAACTGATCTCAACTCTCTTTGCAATCAGAGAATTTCAGACCTTTGCTGCAGAAATTCTTTTGGAATCTTGGTCAGATCAGTCTGTGCCTTGGTACAGGTCTGTCTCTGAGTTCCTGGGGCAGTTCCTTACACCTCATGATTCTCATTTGCTCTGACCTGCACAGTGAGCTGTGAGCTCTTATATAGACAAGTGTATCCCTTTCCTAATCAAGTCCAATCAGTTTAATTAATCACAGCTGGACTCCAATGAAGGAGTCGAACCATCTGATTACTTTGCATAATAAGGAGGATGAGAGGAAATGGACAGCATGAGAGTTAAATATGAGTGTCACAGCAAAGTCTTTGAATACTTATGACCAGTGTTGTATAGTAATGAAGTAAAAATACTTCACTGCTTTACTTAAGTATATTTTGGAGTACTTCATACTTTCCTCGAGTAAGAAAATTTCTGATAACTTTCACTTTTCCTTCACTACATTTCCGAACTTAATTGCATACTTTTACTCCGATACATTTTCAACGTGTGGTTTAGTTACTCGTTACAAAAAAGCGAAAGAGAAACACAAATGTTTTGACCCCACCTACTGATTGACAGCAACAAAGCCTGCTTGCCTGGGCTTGTTCATCACCACCAATAGGACGCACATGTTTCGCACCTCCCCACCTTTATTGGGGAAGGTGGTGCTGATTGGTTAGACTGTTTGCTAACCAATCAGCAAACAGTCTGATTGGTTAGTGCTCCGTTTGTGTAGGTTTGTGCCGTTAAAATTTTTGTTTGTGCAGCTTTGGTTTCCGAGATATTAAAAATTATTTTTTAGGTCATCCAGAGTTACCATCCCCCCATTTTGCTCCAAAACAAACCAAAGTGGGCTGGTTTGTTAGTGCTCCGTTTGTGCAGGTTTGTGCCGTCAAAACAAACGCAGCAAAGTTGTTTTCAATTTGGATTTTGGCTATTCCAATATCTGGTGTGAGCGGCGTCTAGCTCAAGGTTGATCCGATTCATGAACGCTAATTTCGGCCAGCCGTTCTCTAGGTCTCCCCCTTCCTCAAGGTGTCAGAGTTTCACTCAGGGAGAGTCAACAAATTTTACATCCAAACTCTCCTGAGAAACTAATGGAAATACATGTCTTGCCTTGTGACCAACTGACACAAAATTCATGCTGTTACACGAGACACACTGTTCTCTAGTGAATTTTTAGTCATACTCAATATTTTCAATAATTGTAATCTTAAAAAGTATATATTTTGGATGGCCTAAAAAATCATTTTTAATATCTCGGAAACCAAAGCTGCACAAACGAACATTTTAATGGCACAAACGGAGCACAAACCAATCAGACTATTTGCTGGATTATTTGAGTAGGTGGGGTGTCAGCTTCACGGAGGTCTGTTTTGCTGCTCCCATTAAACACCAAGTTAACAAAAAAGCTCTCCCTCTTCAGATACCAAATAAGCTCCATTTCCCTCCCAATTCTTTTTTTTCTTTTGCATAATGACCAGTTGTGTGCACCTATAGTTTGTGAAGTAGAGTAATCGTAACGACTTTTTTTCTTCATGTTGGACGCATTTTGGCCACTATTTATTTTTCTCATTTTCAGCACTGACCTTACTTAAAGGAAAAACTTAAGGCTTACAAAAACTTTGTATTTTCTGTCCCGGAGAGTCCTAAGAAGCTGGTTCAGTTGTAAAGCAGGTTAAGTTAACCTTGTGGTTTAGGTAAAGCACCTAATTTTCTTAACTACATGATGCCTGCAGGTTTATCTATTAGCAGGTTTAATTTTGCCTGCACTTGGTTGTGTACATTATTTTAAGTGTATTTGACAAGTTTACCAAATATAAAAAATGTCATTCAAACTGCATTTGCCTTGTTTACTTTTTACTTGTACTTTTCATTACATTACTTGAGTACATCCATTTTTACAGTAATTTCCATACTTAAGTACAAGACGTTTCAGGTACTTTAATACTTTAACTCAAGTAACATTTCAGTCAGTGACTTTGACTTTTACCAAAGTCATATTTTGGAGAGGCATCTATACTTTTACTTGACTCTGAGACTTCAGTACTTTATACAACACTGCTTATGACCATGTGATAGTTCAGATTTTATTTTTTGATAAATTTGAAAATATGTCTACATTAGTTATTTTCTGTCAAGATTGGATGCTTAGTGTACATTCATGATAAATAATGTGAATAAACAAGAGTGAATAATTGAAAGGGGTCTGAATACTTTCTGTACTCACTGTAAGTGGGAGCCTCGACAGACCCGCCCACCAGGACACGTCTGCATCTATGTGGTTAGCAGCAGTTGCGCCACTGTTGCTAACTTGACATTATATTTAGAGACTTGTCAGATAAAAACATCTTTATCTGCAAAATTTATAATCATCAGGTCAGGCTGTCTAAAGAGTGGTGATTGGTCAGAAGACTGCAATTGGTGCACCCCCAGTGGACTTCATCACAAATCTTACAACTTCCTGGATGTTAATGTGTTTTCAAAAGAAAAAATCCTGGCATTGCAAAAAAAGAGAAAAGTTACATGTAGGGATGAATCTCTGAAGATGAAGGAATCTGGGAAGTGTTTATTTCTCAGAGAATGACTTTGTGTCTTTCATCTGCAGCTCTTCAAACAGCATAGCACAGATGTTCACGAGTACGAAGTGAAAAAAGGCCTTCAGTGATCTCCTCAGAAGGCAGGTGAGCATGGTGTGAATGCTGCTGTTTATGATTTATATCAGTATGAAGACCTCTGGTTGCAGTGAAAGGAATCCTGATGTGTTGTTTCTCTTCTCTTACAGGAAGCGTTTGGATCCGCTCTGTTGGAAACATCTGCTTCAGTTCCATGTAACCCCCCAACCTGAACTCTTTAAAATACAATGAAATAAGATAAATAAATGTGATGTGTGAACTGTGGAGTCCTGATTACTTTGCATATGTAATTAAGAAGGCTTTGACTGACACTAGGACATTATGCTTGTATTCACTGTTATATTTCTATTTATCAACTTTACACTCTTATTACTGTCCTGTTTTAAAGGCCACAGTCATGTTCGTGATGATGCATGCTGGGAGCTTTTATCTGAACGAAGATTTTATCTGATGTAATTCATTTCACAGTTACTTAAAATGAGAGTGGAGAGCAAAGTGGATCAACAAAGTATTGACTCAGTGGGGATGAATTAAAATTCACTTGGCACCTTTTAGATTTTGAACAACACTGAAAAACCACCACCTGTCACTTGTATTTACAGTTGTGTGCCTGTGAGTTGGTTGTCACACAAAATTGATCTAAAGTATTGTTTGTGGTTCTTATGGTACAAAACATGAAAACCCTGCAAATGTTTGATTTTTCCTTGTTGACAGCTATTGTTGACATTTCATGTATGAAACTGTCATCCAAAATGAAAACAAGATTCAAGTCTCCGCTTTGACTTCATCGACTTCAACATGAGCTTAAAAGCTGACAAATAAATGATCTCCACATGCTTCTTTTGGGCATCTGGCTCTATGAGTTAAAGGCGGTGAATAGTGCCAGTGTGAGGTACTAATCAGGTAGTAATCTCCAAGCTTCAGATTCAACAGACAGTATGGAGGCAGGCCATAAAGCAGATTGTAGAAGATCTACTCTGTCTTGTTTTGAAAAATTAAGGTTTGGAGAGATTTGATGTCATCAACCTTCAGAGAACATGTTTCTATAGAGCATGAAGGATACAAGGACGGTCAAATTCCTTTTCAGAAATATATTTCTTCTTTCTTTTCAGTTTTTCTTTTTCTCCTGCCCTTATTCAGGGCCACAACATTGAGGGCCACTCTATCAATGGAGACAGACATTAACCGGCTGAAGTGAGACCTGACAATGGAGAAAACTCATATTGTCCAGTGGTGGTCCATCCACTGGACAATAGTGGTCCAAATCATACAGTACAAAATGCTCAAAATACAAAACCAGGTTCACAACTCATGAAGTTTGGGTTGTAATTCCATTTCAGTCAAACATAAAAATTAATCCAGATACTTGAAATATTTCACAGTGAAGTGAAACCATAATGTATTTAGCGTTCACCTTTTTTTTTTTTTACCTGAATTACTAAAATAATCTAATATCTTCCTGGTTTACTTTGAGATACTTTTTTAAAGCACTCCTCTGGGCCCCCAATTGAATAGAGTGCTCCAGGTTCGGAAGCACCCCTCATATATCTCTTCCCTCCTCTGTCATTACTCGCCCGTCATACATTCCTGCTGCAGTTTCTCACCAGTACTTGTCTCACTTGTCTCTACAGCGCAGCACAGTGGGCAGGTCTGGTCTCCGCCCCCTGCACGTTCCTGAGACTACAGCACGCCGTGCTTCTCTTCCACTCAGCACTTACTGAAGCTGCAGCGATGTTTTCTTGCAGAGCGGCCTGGCGGAGGTGTGGGCCTCTGGCTCGGAGAGCCGCCTACAGACTGCCCCTGGACGGTGAGTTGACAGAGCAGCTCTGGATGTGTGTCTTCTCTCCACAGTGCGTGTCTGTGATGTAATGTCTGCTTTCTGTCGTAACAGGCGTGATAGGACACTCTGTCCTCATGCTAATGTCAATACTTGGGTAAAAAGCAATGACTCAGGGTGTTACAGAACTGTCAGAATTTAATTTCGGTTTAAGTTTAATTGTCGCTCTGTAGTTTTTAGAATAATTTGCCTCCGTTGTGGAATGTTGACTGAACATTTAAGTGTCTCCTCATGTGACATGACAATATTGGTCATTTGCTCTGTTTGTAGTTAATACTACAGCGTTAGAGCGTGGCCATGTTTCAGGGAATAACACAAAGTCGGTGTTTTAACAGCCTTTTAGCAGATGTTCTTGTCGGGCTAGCAGCTAGCATGGCCTGTATGGGAACCATAGTGACCTCTGCCGAGCGTCACTGACGGACTGCGCGTTCAGTACGCAGTCTCCTAAAAAATGACCTTCATGAATGTGTGGGTAAACGTGGAAACATGGTTGCCGCTGTCAGTCACGTGGCGTGCGCGTGTGACGGAGGATAAATGTAGAGAGAGAGAGAATGCTGAGGCACGAGTCTGAGCAGCAAGAGGAAGGAAGGTTAGCGTGTGACCTCAGCTCTGCTTTCGATGCTTCATTATGAATTAAGACATCCAGCCAAAACTACCGCCAATAGCGTTTGCGTGTCTACGTGACGTATTTCACGCAGCCCCTCGCCTCACTAACCCACCCTCTGGGTTTGGGGTGCTGTGGTGGTGCAGGGGCAATCAAGTATCACACTTTCTGTCATTTACCACACACTGCAACATAGAACTAGACAGAAAATGACAGCACTTAAAAACATGGCAGCTGGAGAAGGTTTATTTTGGAAATATTAACTGGTAAAGCTGGGCTGTAATTTATTCAGCTCTTTTCTCTACTGTCCTCTCACTTAAACAGAGGAGGTGTAACAGCCAAATCCAATGATTTTCAGACCTGCTTCCCCTACAGTGTTTAGAAATGTTATCCCCATGTCCTCCTACCTTTATGGAACCCAGCTGATTAGAGGGTACATATAACAGATTTGGGAGGCCATTTGCCAGCATGTAGGATTAGCTCTGGATAAGTGAACAGGTTAATACCCTTAACACTGGACAGGACCAGGTTCCTCAGACCTCGGCTTCCACTGCAGCAGCTGGTTAATGATTTGACAGCTTGAGCCCCATAGAAAATGGAGACAGTGGAGTGAGCTCTTTATCTTGGCCTCATTTGTGTACGTTTTACACGATATATACATACTGTGATGTGAAAAAGGTTAACATGAACCTGAACTCCTTCATGCTTATCTTCCACTGATGCTCTTGGTTAGGTCAGTTTTCTTTTGTGCTTTGGACATGGTTTGTTTTTTCTACCCAATATGGACTTAGACTTTTATCATATTTTATGGTACTGTTATGAAAATAATGAAAATTATGACAAAATAATTATTTCTTATTTATTTTTATGTAACTGTAACTATATTGTACAGCAGTGAACACAAATAATAATCTCAAAAAATATAACCAGTTGTAATGTGTTTCTTTAGGCTACCGGTCGCATAAAATAGTGTGAACTATGTTACACTATAAAATAGTGCATTTGCATTTAATCATACTTTAAAAAGTATTAATTCTCTCATTGGACAAATAGTGGGGAAAATAGTAACAGGTTATCTCCCAATCCCCCAAGGCAGTCTTGGGGGATTTTAAACATCATTAATTGAAAGTGATCATGACCACAATAAATCAAAAGTCTTATTATGAAAAACAAATCACAATACCTTGACACAATCAATGCCGAGCCCTAATATGAACCCTACTTTTTAAATAAATGGATAACAACAACAAAAAGAAACAACCTGAGATGTCCATCTGTTTCTCTACTGTATGCCAGGTTTTCAGTTTCTCTCTGTGGAAATAACATTGGTATAGTTAGGGCAGGAAATGTAAAGAAAATCAAAAAGAGAATAAATGTGATGTTAAAACACACTGGAATTACGATTCTTCTCATCTTCTCTGAAGGAGAAAAGATGGTAAATATCTGCTTTTTTTTCCAGGACACAAAACCAAGAGTCCAGAAGAAAAATATCTATATATAAAAATCTATTTTGAAAATAAACAAATTCTGATTGTTCAACATTTGATAATTCACATCTGCCTCCTCTTTGGTAGAGTTCTGCCAATAAATGCTGATTTCTAGATTAGTTTTGGAAAACTGAGACGACTCAGTTTTCCAACAATAACCCTTTCCATCAGGAAATGAAATGCTGAGTCAAACTTAAGGTGAAGCTTCTGGACAGCCATGCCTTGCTATTTCTTCACAAGATGGTGGGAAATGATCCTTTCTCTTAGTATCAGAGTTAATTGAGCCCTTTAAATCCTTAGGATTTAAAGGGCTCAAATTAAGAGGACTTGGGGGGGAGTGGTGACGCAGCATTTTGGGCTCAAAGTGAACTCGGTGAATTATCTAACATGTCCATGATTTCCTGTGCAGGTGTGCAGCGGCAGCCCATGTCGTCAGTTCCTGGAGGCTCTGGGCAGAACATCCTGTACACGGTGCTGTGTGGTGGAGCTCTAGTCGGCGCTCTGTCATATGTAAGTTATCTGTTTTCCATCGGAGGTTTGTCTGACAGTTGAGTTAACATCATGAACAGAGATCTGATCTCTTAACTGTATCTCACAAATGTTCTGTTTATTTTTTCTAACAGGGATATAAGACTGTGACCTCAGATCACGAACGGTTTATTGAGCGCGTCAGTGAAATCAGAGCCAGACCCAAGACTGAATGGACACCTAAACCCTGGCCACCTAAAGGCAAGTCCCAACCCCCCATCTTCAGCTTCTCATGAGGAGTTTACTTGCTTTTGGATCCACTTAAAACAATAGTAGTACATTTCACTCGGATTACTTTTGTACCACATAATTTAAGAAGTGTATATAAATGTGTGTTATATGTTTCATTCAGTGAGAGAATCAGAATCAGTGTGATCAGGCAATATGCACTTAGAAACAGAGTTCACTCCATGCAGCCAGGAGAAAAGGCTGCAGCGAAGCTGGAATCTTAAAATTGAAAGGGACAGTATCATGTAAAATCAACCTTTTGTGAGATTTACATCATAATATAATGTTATTCCCTCATCAAAAACATACATGAAGTGTTGATTTGGTCCTTCCATGCATGTTTGAGAAATTCTTCAATCTCTATGGCAACCATTAACTGTGCAAAACCTACCGCTATGTTTGAGTGGCGGTAGGTTAGAGTGGCGGTAGACAGAAGTCTCCAAGCTTCTGCCTCACAGAGTCTGCAACTTCCCCATTCAGTTCCTTCAGACTAGCCATCAGCAGTTAGCAAACATCTGGTGGAACTTGTGTTTGCCAGTTCCACCAGAAAACGATTGAATCAGCTGTTTTTCTATTCAGCTCTAAACTCAGATTGATCTGAGTTTATTTTACAAGTAAGTTTTCAGGGCAACGCTGATAAAATGTTAAAGGATTAATAGAGGAGCCACGTTGAATTTCAGAAAGAGCAGGAGTCACACCAATGTTTAGACGCAGCTGACTGGGAATGACCACCATCTGTTCCACACAGAGTTGCCTTATGAGTTGTGTTTCCTTCAGTGGTTTTTATGGGGATTTTGACATTAGAAAAGTTTGATGGAAATGGCAAATTTTGAAATTACTTACTCAGTTTTGCAAGCAAGTTTTAACCCTTGCTTGAGGTGGTTTTTGTCTTTCTTGAAAAATGAAAGATGGAAACACATTTGCTGAATAGGTTCTGATGTAGTAAATGCTCCCATCCAATGTGCCTTACCACTGATCTACATGCAGACCTGTGAAGGTATTTGTTAGGGAATCCAGACTGTAGCATCATGGATGCACGTCTTTAGTTTAGATGAACTAAATGGTTGTGGAGGAGGACAAACCTCCTCCACAACCTACAGCAGCCCTGGTTGGGACTGTTTACATATTTAGCTGACTGACTCTCAGCAGCCCATGTCTGCTGCTGCAGATGGACCAGATTAGGCTGTTGGATCCATGTGGGAATTCTGGTTGATAGCATCAGTTGTTGTACTGGACAGGGATTAAAGCATGACAGGAGATAAATCCATGATGTATAGAGCAGGTCTGAGTTGTGTTAATGTGACGCCATATGGTGATGCATACAAAATTCTTAACTTCCTGTTTTTTTTTTTGTTTGTTTGCAGGCAAAGATGAAGATGAAGGTGAGTAGAGTTCCTGCCTGAGAACTCAGACATAGCTTAAATGAAACGTGAGCTTGGGTGTAAACATGCTGCAAACACTTTAACCAAACACCTGGTTTAACCAACCTGTTGTCGGCACAAATAATCCCACTGATCTGTCTGTTCCTCCACAGAAGAGGAAGTCCACACTGAAAGCAGAGCATGAGTCTCCTTTATAACACAGTTATAATTTGGGTTGTTTTAACTCAGACTATCTGCTTGAACAGGCAGGATGCCTAAATGCCTGCAGATTCCTGCAGCTGCTCTCTCAGTCAGCCTCTGTCTGCTCTCTGTCTCAGTGAGAGCAAAGATGGCTCTGATGGTAATGAAATGATCTGGACGAGCCTCAACAGGCCTCTACTGCAGAACACCATGCTCAGCTTTCTTGTTACAAGAAGACAGATGGTGTTACAGATACAAAGGTTTAACCTGCTCTGAGGTCAGACTGGGCTGACATTATTATGCTGGACACACACTTTTAAATCTGTTAATACTGTATCAGTTGTGCCTCACTATTCCTCTCAAATGTATAGTCACTTCAGCACCTCATAGGAGCTGAAGTGATCAGGATCATCATGATTAAAACATTTTTTTTTGACTGAAGAAACAAAATTGTTTGGTTCTGATTTGAAAATTCTAGAATTTAGAGGTTTACACAAGTTTTTATAATTTCTGTGTGTTTAGTAATAAACCAAATCTCTATTCCAATAAGGTCACTTTTGTTTCGATGAGTGTAGAAAACAAAAAAAGAACCTGATTGTACAGAAATCAGGGGCTAGCATGATGTCAGTGTATGTTCCTCACAAACTAAACCAAAAGCTGACCTTCTAACAAACACAGTCTTAATCCAAGCTTTAGTGATGCACTAATACACTCCTCCCCTCTGTTCCACCCACTTCCCTCTGTTTTCTCTATGTAAGATGGCCAGGTTCTCACTTTCTTGTGTGACATCATCAATGCTAGCAGGCCTTGTTCACTTTCCACCTGCATTCTCACAGCTAGACTGGTTGAACTTAGACAGAGATGATGTCTGAATGTAGCTCTTTAAAAAACAGAATTTCCTCCTCCAAACTCTAACACTTTGTGTCTCTACTCTTTCAGCATAATGCTTAAAGCTAAGGTCCTCTGTGGCCACTTGGATATTCGTCCTAGAACTGGATGTGAAACCCCTTCTCCTCCTCCTCCTCCTGCTCCTCTTTTCCTCCTCTCCCATAGAGAACTTTGGAACAGTCTCTAATGGATCTGACTGAGGGACTTTGAGGGATTTTTCTGCACTGTGCTATTGTTAACTCTGTGTTTGTGGGACTCTAGACCATTGTTGTACCACATGCTTTTGAAGGCCATTCAGACAAACACACTTTGCATGCACTGGAGTAGGGTTCAGTGTTCCTGTTCCCCAGAGCTCTGCCTGTTTCATTTATGACTTCTATTAAAATGATTACAGAGAACAGTGAAATGTTCAAACCTTTCCTTTGTTGGTCAACAGACCCACAGCTGTTCTCACACATTGTCCTCACTGAAGGAGTAAGCCTGCTGTTTCAAACAGTTTTGTGTACTTTGTGATTTAATGTGAAGCAATGGAAGGATTCCTCACTCACCAATTAAAGACCCACAACCTACCTGGCCTGTCTCAGTGTCTGTATGTCTCACTGTTAGACATGCTTTCACAGTTCCTGATAACCCTAACTTGTTAATTTGATGGTAAGAATCAACTTTCCACTTGACCCTTTCTACCCTGCACTTAACCCCACTCCCTGCCTGCTCCTCTTTCTTTACCCCTCCCCTCCCTCTGCCTGGGTTGTCCTCCTTCCTGTCTTGGAGTTTGCATGCAGTTTGTTCTGTGCATGTCTTTATCTACTTACCTCTGTAGTTTTTTAGAGATGAGACAGGTCTTTAAATGTCATCAATAAATAATATTTCAAGAGCAGGGGAAGGTAATCCCAACAACTCTGTAACATTACTGACACTGATCTCTTCATGATGGCACCTGTTAGTGGGTGGGATTGCCCTTAAAGCTGAAGTGTTAGACTCCTGTGGGGTGTTCCCAGTACACAGTGGTCAGTACTCACCCAAGGAAGGAATACTAGTGAACTGGTGACAGGATCATAGGAGCAGATCTATGATTGTGGCTTCATCATCAGAGTAATGCATCCTATAGCAAAGCAGAGATGGTTCTGGACAAGTTTAAAGTGTTGACTTGCCCTCTATATGCTGGCAGGTCCTAATCCAGTTGAGAAACCATGGATAAACAAGTCCAAACTATCGAGTCCTCATATCCCAACTTGCAGGATCTAAAGTAACCTTACAAAATTAATTTCTTCATTGTCAAGTCTCACTATCTGGTTAATGTCTGGTTTGGTTCTACCCTGGTTTGAAGCGCCTTCACTATGGTCTGTTCCCTACTATTGTGGGCATCAGTGTGGACGGATACACTGTGGTCGACACTTCCATGATGTGATTTGCACCATAAATGGAATGCGTGTGCTCCTGCACCACTCAAGATTAAACTCTTAATAGTGCTCCTCCAGACTGAGCAGCTGTCTGGCATCAGTCTGCATGTCTGCCACTCCACTGGGGGCTTCAATGTTGTTTGGTTGAGATGTTGTAAATCATGGTCCACTCAGGGAATGCTGTCAATCAAATTACTTGCTTGCAATACTTGGCTTTGAGCAGCTTGGACTATATGAAAAATGGAGGAAGAGTTGTGCAGGATGTGGGGATAGAGGTGAATCTGACTGGGACAGGCTGGGGCAGAGCTGGTAAAAGTCACTCCAGTGGAGAAGTGCCTATAATGGTGCCAGAAGTTACAGAAGGGGAGCGAATGCCTCAACATGTCTGGGCTAATTAGGTTGCAAAAGAAGGACCAACAGATCATTCGGCAGGTTGTCATGATGTTATTCCTGAACATTGTAGATGCATTAAACTGTATAGGTCAAGGTTTCCACCCCGTGAATCCCTTCCCCTTCTGCTTCCACAACTATCCAGAGCTGCAAAGGCAAGGACTCTTTAGATTGTTGAAGGTCTGCTGTGGGATTATTTAGGAGCACAACCAGTACAACCAACACAACCAGTGTAGCCTCCCCACACCTATCAGTGAACTTTGATTGTTCACCATTTTTGTTGCCAGTTCACTAGTTCCTGTAACTTCAACATTGAGTTGTTCACAGATGTGAAGACTATCTACTCATGTTTTGGGCCTGGTGAAAGTTGCTGAGATTCTTCAACTTCATACACCAGGGGACTCAATCCCCTGATCTCAGGATTTGCTACCCTGCAAGATTGGGATACATCCCTGCTCCAACACCCCTGAGTCAAATGAATGGCTCTTTATCAGGCTTTTGCCAAAACTCGATGGCATATTTAGTTATCTGATTCAGGTGTGTTGGAGCAGGGTTCAATCTATAACCTGCAGGACGGTAAATCTTATGGAATAATGATCTGCACAGTCATACGGAAGATTTGCTTGTTGCATTATAAATCCCATTCACTTCCGGGTTCCATTGGAATGATCTTTCTTTTGTGCTTCACCTGTCAGAAATCATAATGGCTGATATGTGAAAATCTTAAGAATGTGTTAAAAAGGAAAAATGGCTTAATACTGACAATATGGGCAAATTAGAATGAAGGATGTGTTAATAAAAACATATTTTGGTTGCTCATAATTTGGTTGGACAATCAAACATGGATGAAAGATGTAATATGTTTAACCTTAATCAATTGTTTTTGTTTATTGCAGGAAATGCTTTAATTTTATTAACTTAAGTGTAAATTGAAGCAGTGGTTGTGTCACCTCTGCAGGCTGTTAAATACCGAGAGCAAGTGGAAAACATGCTAAATTTCATGACTACTGGCATGAATTAAATCACCATTAATCAGTGATAATACACCAATGTGGATGTGTTTAATCCATTCAGTATCGAGATCTGTACCAGGCATGGGCAACACTGTGACTTTAGAGGGCACTGTTAAAAATCTGGACTGAAATATAAATTATAAATAATTATACCTGAACGACACGTCATTTTTCACAAATTGCCCTCCTGTCCCCAACTTTAAGAGTTTGAATGTGAAGTCAAACGATATAGTCACATTGGAGGAAAAAGAAAATTTGCAAACGGCAGTTGATGAAATCCCTAATGCTTAATTGTGTTCCACTACAAAGAGCAAAATCATAACAATGTGTAATGTTCTTTACAATAATTACATTAAGCAGTAATACACAGGGGTCTAAAGATCGAGATATAATAAATTTGTCAGACTGAAACTGGAATGATCAACAGCAAATTCAGTTTGGTCCAAATTGAGACAAAGCAATCACTTCAGTCTAATCTTACAGAAAGATTTAGATCCAATCCTATATGTTCTGATCTAATTCCTGAATCTGAAAGATCCTTTGTGTATGTAACACTAGTTCCTCTAGTGATCTGGTGTGTATATTTCTGTGCATTGCAGACAGAGAGGCTGACACTGGGGAAGACGAAGCTGCTGCTACTGCTGCTGATGAGGCAGAAACCATAGTGGAGGAAGCAGCTGAGGTGGTCGCAGAGGCCGCCGAGGCGGTTTCAGAGGCCGCTGAGGCAGTCGCTCAGGTGGCACAGGAAGTGGAGGCAGCTGCAGAAGAAGTAGCCAAAGTGGCTGAGGCAGTGGAAGAGGCTGCCGAGGCTGTGGCCGAACCTGCCGCTGTTGGTGCAGAGGAGACGCAAAGCGATGGTACGAGCTCTTAATCTGAGGAAACCTGATGCCGCACACATTAACTGCAGGGAGACATACACATTACCACACACACCTGATTATTTCAGGATTACTGCAAAGATCCGTTTGACATCAGTCGTCGTCTAACATCACAGGGAGCAATAAGACTTGTCCCAGTCTGTAGAACCTCTAAAGGCTAGGTGCTTCTCCCCAGGTTTCTGGCCTCACCAATCCTGCACATTCTTTCTTGTTGTCCTGAAAGTGTATATTTGCTTTTTTTTTTAATTTATTGGAACGGGTTTGAACGGTCAGAGGCTGCTGAAAGTAACTTGAAATCTGCGGGGTGTGTAGTGCAGATGGTCGTGTCTGATTTTTGTTCAGGTTCTCACCTTGCCTTGCACCATCAGAAACTACAAACTGAAGTATATCTGCACCTCCTTATGTGGCTGTGAGCTCTCAAGCAATGCTCATTTGCAGTTATGGGTGAAATAAATGTGATCACTCAACAAGTATAAATCTTATTCATTCACGTTAACCCTCATCAGGTATATGAGCCCAAAGTTCAAACAGTATAAACCACCAAAAAAATGTTAAGCCAGAGTAGATGCTGCAATATATTAATGGTACCATTTTGTTCTAAAACCTTTAATGCTATTTTCTGATTTGACCAAACTCTTGTTTTTCTTTGCTTTAAGCATCTGTAATGTTGCCCTGCTGTTCTCAGTATCACTCAGAGTACATGTATGTGTTTATCTCCTGCTGTGATACACGTGTGTGTGTGTCTAAATGCAAAGCTATGTTCCAACTCTGTAATAACTGTCATGTCAGATTGTCTCGAGAAATGTTAGTCAGAAATGCTGTAAATCATTAATTTTAATAGTTTACAAACCAATTCAAATCATATGTGGTCATATTTTTATTTTGCTTATAACTGGACAATGAGCACTGTGAACAGATATTTCATGAGGTCCTACAATAAAGCTTTTTGTTAAACTAAAATATTTACTGCCGTCTTTGATTTGTCTGATATGTTTCTAATCTACATTTATGGTTGCATTATCCAGTATTTACACTTGAGACCAACTGTTTGCATACATTGAATGATGTTTGTCTTTGAACCTGAACCCATTTGAGCTCTCAATCTAATTTTATCTAATTTTTGCCAAATGAATCCCCTTTATCACAGTTAACACTAAAACTGCATGTGTGTGCTATCTACTTCATAATTATGAATCTTTAGCAGATGATCTGTAAACTGCATTATTACCTCAATTTGTGTGCTAATTGTGGAGAAAATACAACTTGAGTAGTTGTGATGTTTAGATGGTTGGATTTTGTGTTGCAGTGCCACTAGCAGCTGCCTCTGCATTAGAGTTACTGAAGAAAGCCGAAGGAAAAGATGACTTGGCATCCAACAATCAAGAACCCCTCCCTCCAGAAGTGGAAACACCTGTTGAAAAAGTTACCCCTACTGTTACAGAGGTCTTGACATCAGATGGAGATACTTCAGTCAAAGCTGTAGCAGTCAGTGAGGAGGCTGTTACACCAGAGGAAGATGGAAAAGTTTCTGGAGCTATAGAAGTAGCAGCAGCCACGCAATCTCCTGCACTGGTAGAGGTCGTGTCAATAGAAGAATCAGCAGCCTTTGCAGAAGTTGGAGCAGTTGCTGAGGTGTTCCCTACACCAGGAGATGTTGTGCCAGTTGCAGAGGAGCCTCCTGCACCAGCAGAGGTTGCACCAGTTGTTGAGGATGTCCCTGTACCCACAGAGATTTCAGCAGTTGTTGAGGAGACTTTGACATCAGCAGAGGATGCACCAGTTGTTGAGGATGTCCCTGTACCCACAGAGATTTCAGCAGTTGTTGAGGAGGCCCCTGTAGCTATAGAAGTTGCATCAACTGTCAATGAGGCTCCTGCACTTGTAGATGTTGCACTAGTTGTTAAAGAGACTTCAACACCAGCAGAGGTTGCTGCAATTGTTGAGGATACTCTTGAACCCGTAAAAGTTGCACCAGTTGTCGAGGAGGCCCCTGCACCTGTAGAGATTACAGCAGATGTTGTGGAAGCCCCTGTACCCATAGAGGTTGAGGTAGTTGCCATGGAGGCCCACGCACCCATAGAAACTGCAGAAGTTGTCGAGAAGACTTTGATACCAGCAGAGGTTGTGCCAGTTGTTGTGGAGACTTCAACACCAGCAGTGGTTGCTGCAATTGTTGAGGATACTCTTGTACCCGTAGAGATTGTGCCAGTTGTTGAGGAGACTTCAAAACTAGCAGAGGTTGAGGCAGTTGTTGAGGAGACCCCTGTAGCCATAGAAGTTGCACCACTTGAGGGCCCTGTACTCATAGAGGTTGTGCCAATTATTGAAGAGACTTCAACATCAGAAGAGGTTGCACTGGTTGTCGAGGAGGCTTCTATACCCACAGAGGTTGTGGCAGTTGTCGAGGAGGCCCCTGCTCTCGAAGAGGTTGTCGAGGAGGCCCCTGCACCCACAGAGGTTGCTCCAGTAGTGCAGGAGACTCCTGCACTAGTAGATTCTAGCAAAGAATACATTGTTGTTGTCCTGGAAGGAACACCCAAAGAAGAGAAAAGACCCAAGGTCCTTGGAGTTGGTCCTATGACCGGTAGAATCATCCCAGCTCCAGAAGATGACAGTACCCCAGCCTCTGAGGTAACAGTTTGTTTTTAAAATTTTAAGTATCTTTAAGTAGCATGCAAGTATTATAACTAGTAAATGGTGATGCATTACTCTTCGGCAAGAGATTAAAATTTAAAAAATTTTTCTAACCAGTGATCAGTGCAGGTCAGATACTGGAAAGTCATACACCTTCTCATCAAATACGTCTGCTAAGAATTCTGGTTTCATTGGCATTTAAGAAAAAAAAAATTTCTTTGGTGCACTTACCAGATGAAGAGAGGCTTAAGTTTAGGAAAATTAACTTTTATATATAAACAATATATATAAAAATTACTGTACCTACCAATGAATCTGCGAGTCAACCAAAATAATAAAATTACCTGAAATGAATATCAGCTTCTAAAACCCTTCTCTGTGCATCTCCACAAGAAAACATTTAATGGTTTACAGTTAAGTGGTACTTAAACTATAAAAAGAATTAATATTTTTTTTTCTTACAAAGTATAGTGTGGTCTGGAAACGAATTAACATAGCTCTTTAAACTTTGCTGTTCAGGGTAGGCGACATCTTCTTAGGATTCAAATGCAGTAGTATCCAACAAAGGTATTGAGCCTTTAATTATTTGGATTATTTTAGATTAGGTTATGAACACTATGTGCTTTCAAGTAAAATGTAGATTCCTTCTGTATGTGTGTACTTTCCACTCTAGGAATGTAGATTTAGAGGAAGGTTTTGGAGTTTTCATCATCTGCTCAACACTAACATGTTGTTTTTATTTATTGCAGTAAAGCACTCCTAAATGATGACTTTCAGTCCTCCACTAGAAGACAGAGGATGTGCCTTTCTCCTACACTTTATCCTTCAGCTCTGAAATTCAAAGGGACTAACTGGTTACACATTACTGACACGGTACAGTGTTTAGATCACCAGCTGCTATATTGAGCCCACATAGCCCATTACTGTGAAATGTCACATGTGTAACAGTTACATTGTAGCCAGATTGTTATGGGCATATGGTTTTTGTTGTGTTGTCAGGAACATTTTCTGTCTCCTCTGTGAACTACAATCTATTTACAGCTTTTGACTAAACTGAGCCTTTCAAACATCCCAAAGCTTTTACTGTTACACATTAAAGCTTTAAAAACCACTCCAGTGGAATATGTTGACATTGTGCATCTCCAAACACTGCCCCGCCGCCACAGTATTAGCTCTCAAAGCGAGGAGCATTCAGATCCACCAGCACCGTATTATAGAAACCAACCTCAAGTTTTTTTTCTCTGCTTCTTCTGGTTCCTGGTGGAACCGCTCTGACTGTACTTTATGTTTATGAACAAACACGTGAATCCATGAGTCTGACCTTCTACCTCACTGTTTTCCCTCATGTTCATCATTTTAAAACAACCCCTTCAAGCTCTGTACAATCCAATCAGTGTTAGGTTCCTTGCTCTGCAACATAGCACCTAAACCATTACCTTCACAATGGTCCCATTAAATTGTAATGGGGTCATTATTAAATACACTCCAAGGAAATTATATGAACCATAAATAATCAGCACCAGGTATCTGATATTATAGCCACAGATTAAGACTGAAAAAAGAAATGGTAAGGGAACTGTAACTATAGTCAGTATCATCTCTATTTTACACATTCTGGAATCATCATTGAATAACTGAGTTAAATGGGGGAATAAAGCAGCATCATCCTGTTCTTTCACTGTTTATGTTTCTATCCTATCTTGTTTTTCTATGTTTCTAAAGTTGACCCTGTATTTAAGTGGAGCTTAAAGGCTTCCAGCATGTACAAACAGGTGACAAACTATATGTTAAGGGATTGTGATTTTTAATGGGTCACTGTTTCAGAATGTCTGAAGGAAGGCCTCCAGTGTGAAAAGCGTTGACAACTCAGTGGTTTTCTCTTCCTTCAGATTTTTCTTCCTCTTTGTGAATTTCTTTCTTTCATAGCGCAGCAGGGATCACTGAAACTGAACTGATAGAATAGATGTTTTGAAATGGGATATTACACACTGTCCTCTATGCTTTCAGTTGAATTTCTCTACTAGTGGTTGCCATTAAATAGCAGATTCTGTGGAAAATGTACTCTTGTTTTGCAAAATAAAGATACAGAATTTGAAAACAGAATTTCATTTATTGCATTGCTTAATATTTTTTAAGCGTGAACAATTAAATATATGTGACTCAGTATTAATCCACCACACTTCAGGGTGGTGGATTCACACTAAATAAAAGTAGCTTTGATTTATTTATTTTTTATTACATTTGAACATATATCAGAAAACAAAGCATAATGCCATCTGCCTAATTATTTTAATTATTTTTCTTGAATCCGTTGCATGAGTGTGTGGGATGGGAGCTGGCACCAAAGATGTTGCAAGCTGAGGCCTCCCTGTATCAGGACTCTACAAGTGTCCAGATCACTTGTAGAGAGGGGATTTATCCCAAACAAATTTGGAAAATAAAGCCCCAATTTGGGAGATAAAATTGTTCCAGCTACTTCCAATTCTCTAAGGTCCAGGTAAATGTTCACATGCCCATTGTTGGCAGTGGAAAGGGATCAGAATGAATTCCTTGACTGTTCTGTGATTACACACTGATGCCCTGTGTATTCTATATTCTATCAGAAGCAATATGAAGTGCTTAAGAATTTGGGCCACAGTAGCTTATCTGTTGGATTGGACTGCAGGTTGTGCTCTTGGTGTTTGGTGTTTTATCTTTGTGTGGAATGATTGGTGCTCCATACCACCCAACTCAAAACCCTCCCTCTGCTTAATGAAAGTATGCCTGATAAGTAAAGTTGAAATCCTCACTCAGTTTTTCTCTAGATCTCTATCTGCCTATTTACAGCTTTTGGGGGATAAATCTCCCAAATTGGGGATTTGGGACACTGTTCTATTTTGATTTTATTTTTTGAATGCCTAATTTTTTCATGTTAAAATGGATGTTCTGGGGGATACATCTCCCAAATTGGGGCTTTATTTTCCAAATTTGTTTGGGATAAATCCCCTCTCTACAAGTGATCTGGACACTTGTAGAGTCCTGATCACTCTACAAGTGCTAACAAGGTCAGTATGACAGGTTCAGATAGTCAGGATGTTCTGGGTGATGCAGCATTTGGTTAGGATGTTCTGATGAGAACCCATGATTAGGGAGAACTCGCAATCTCTGCAGGAAGACCCAGTTTGAGATTCAATCCCATGACCTTGTTACTGCAAAGTAGTACTTTTCCATGGTGCCTTTCCCCAGTGATAACTAATGAATACAGAGTCTTGCAACATGTCATCAATGCTTCATGCTTTACTTCTAAAGACTGGTGCTTTTGTAAAAGTGTGTGTTTACTTGCTCTAAAACACTGGAAGACCTTCTAGGATCTCTTCAGGACTTCTTTGAAGTCTCCTGAAATATTCAAATGGAATTGAAATGACTCGCTGATAGAAGCCTATGGACCTGAACATCCTCTGTCCCTTTTAATGTTGACAAAACAAGGGGACTGATTTGGGACAGGCTTACACAACATTGGATCTTAATAATCAGAAAGGTGAAGAGTGATTAATATTTTTCTCACAGTCCAAACCATGACTGTTATATTGATTGAATACTCTAAATTACTCTTGGGTATGATTGTGGGGGAGAGGGGGTTCGCACGTGTGTGTTGTTGTTTGTGATGGTAGGACTATGTGTCCCAGAGTGCCAATAAAAAGAGACTAAAATTTGAGGGTTAACATTTGTCCTTTAAATTTCCCTCATAACTCTCTCTGTAGTAACTACAGTTAAATAGATCATTTACTTTAGAAAAATCTTCATAAAACGCTCAGATTTTCTGTAAGTGAACGCATTCTTCTTCACACTCCACTAGATGGCGCTTGAACTGCTGTCCAGATCGGGAGCGTTTGTTTCTGCGTCCGTTCGTCTGACGTCAAGGCGGTCTGTGCTTTGACCCGTTGGATCATTTGTAGCAAAGAGAGGCGGCACACCGGAAAGCTAACGGGTAGCAGAACTCCATCGGAAATAGAAGCCTGAGTTTGAAATCTGTGTGGCATATCGACCTGTAGATTCAATCTCCAGAACATTAATAGGTGCCTGCGCAGGGACTTCCGCGGCAACGAGGCCTTGGAAACACCTACAGAAGCGAGCGAAAGGAGCGTTTTGGTCCCGTCAACTGGGCTAACAGAAGCTAACTTGGGCCCTAGCTGCTGCTAGCAGTGGAGCTCAATTCCCGCAAGCAAAAGCAAAACAAGGTAAGAGAAGAAAACCCACAACACGGGCACATCACTCTGAAAGCTCCCGGTTCCCGCTATTGTTGATGTATTTGCTGGAATAGCTTTAAAGTTTAATGTCTCAAAACGAGTAGCAGTGTTTTAGCAACTAACCAGTTGCTAACTCTGTGGAGCTGAATAAAAATAACCACAGCAAGGCTCTTTATGCGCCTTGTGTTTTACTGCAGAAATGAATGTTGACTTGCTTTTAAAAGTTGAATACTCTTTCCTAAACAGCAGTGAGTAAACAGACCCGGTATCTAAGCGCAGAAAGAAGCTAACTGTAGCCGCGGAGACTGCAGCGACAGACGGGTCGCACCGAGCTCAGATCCCGCTCAGAAAGTAAACACTAGCTGCAGATGGAGAACTAACTAGAGTTCCTCGTCCATCAGCGTCTTCTGGTTTGAGGGACCTCAAAGTTGAATAAGTCACAGTTTTAATTTTGCATAGCTTGTGTTGGCAGGCAGTCAGCTCACATGTTGTTTTGCTGTTTCCTCGGAGCTACAGAATCGCTGTTTGTTTACAGTGAAACTGTGAGGAAGCTGAGGCTCAGTTGGCACGCGATTTGTGCAAACTCAACATTAAATTAACAACAAGTTAATGTTGTGCTCAACGTTAACTTGTAGCTACAATCAGCGCAAACGACCACATGTTTGTTTTGGTACCGTTTGGAGTCCATTCATGCAGGACGTCCAGCAGCAGCGGATGATTATCGTGGTCATGGTAGTAATACAGCAGGTACAACTGGTGTGTTCAGAAGAACCCAAAGACAGACTGTCCTCTAAGATCTGTCTGTAGCTGTCGGAGGGACAGGAAGCTATGATACCAGGAGTCCTGTTGACCTGATCTTGAAGTGTGATGGCTGGATAATAATCTTCTTCTTCCCTCTGGATCAGTTCTCACTCTGCTCTCTGTGTGCTTGTAGTGCAATGAGTTGATGCTGATGAAGCTTAGGATGTACTTTCTTTAGGGCTGAAACTTTTAGTTGGGTTGATCAGATAGATTGATTATTGAGTTGAGTAATTTAGTAATCAAGTAATTGTCATTTGGAGTATACAGTTTCTAAAAAGGCCACTTGGAAGACTGAAACTGTACAAAAAATGATTAATTTCTCATTTAGTGCTCCTTTTCATTGGAACAACCTTTCTCCAAACACCAGACAGGCTGGGTCTCTGGATGGTTTTAAAGTTAAAGAGGCACTTGTTTATGCTTTCAACTCTGCTTCCTTGTTTTATTGCCTTCTTAGTGTTTTATCTGTTTTTAATCTGCACTGATTTATGTAGTCTTTTATTTCCATGCAACCCTTTGCTGCTTTGAATGAAAGCGCTTTGTAAATAATGTTATTATTATTATTTTACTGTGTTGAAGTATTTTTTTGCTGCAGATGCATTCTTTCCTTCAAATGATCAAGCATTCACTAAAGAAGTGCTGCTATTACATTTTAAGAAATAAAATGTTTTTCTTGCTTAAAATAATTGAAGTGTTTTCCTTTTTTATGTATTTTTTAAAATTGATTTAACCACCTCAAGTGGTTAAATGAAAAATCTGTAGAAACATTTTAGTGAATTACTAAAATAATAGTTGTTGGCAGTCCTACTTTCTTGACTTTATTGACTTAAGATGAGAGTTATTGATAATAAAATGGTAGTTATTGTTGTAGTGGTAGTTGGCTTTGATCGTAACCTTACAGTCTCACATCAGCCCCAGGCTTTCCCTTGACATTAATCTTGTTCAAGCACATTCAGAAAAACAAACAGAACACTTCTCTCAGCTTGAGTTGACCTCCTGACCTCTGGCATGCTCTTCTCTCTCTTTAACAGGAATGAGTGATGAACTCTGTGGTGGTGTCAGATGGAGGAGGAAACATAGTGGAGTACGTCACTGTGGTTGAAGAGTCACAGCAGGTAAACCTCTTCTAGAATTTGTCATCTACAGATTAAAACAAGATCAATAATTGTTTTATCGCTTTTTTCTTTTCTCATATTGAGTAGACACATTCGATACATTATAATAGCACTGAAAAGACATTTCTGGAACTTTATCGCATATAAAGCACATTATGCAGATTAAGTAAACACAGATGGATGTTTGAAAGTTTTTATGTCTGTTAATTATAATGAGTTTCTACTTACAGTTTATGAAAACATGACATTTTTAATTAAAATATTATAGCAGACCAATAAACAAACCTGGTTTTAAGATCAGAAATCTGGCCTTAATTAACATTATGTTTAAAACTTTCTTATTCTGACAAATGAGACCCATTTCAACATATATTCTGTATAGTTTGAAAATGGTTGTGTATTCAGTTGGATGACAGAGCAGTCTCACATGTCTCTGTTATGTCCAATCACTGCATCAATATGGAATTATTAATGTCCATATCCAGGTTCATGTACAAATCTGCACATTTCTGCAGAAACCTTCCAGTTCTGTCAGCTGCAGCTTCACAGTTCTAGTCATCAGAAATCATTCACCTCTGGTTTTTCATGAAATTTGAATATTGTGGTAACTAATGTTTTGACTTTTTTGTTTCTTATTTCTCAGTTTCATGAAACTGCCAAGAGTATGAGTAATTTTGAGCTTAAAACAAACAGAGTAGATATAATTTATGCTTGAAGCTATTTATTCTGGAGCAGAAATCTTGTTTTTAGTTGGAAGTGCATTATATTTCAGATGGTTGTTTAACTCAAAGTGATGTAACGAGAAGCTTCTCATTTTAATCAAACATGTTTGAAGTGGTTCCGCTCTCTGTGGTTCCGGAGAAAATTTTGACAAGGTTAGACGATAGGCTGGGTTTACTAGTAAAAGTCAAAATATTTCCACAGTGCAAAGGGATTAACAAGCTGTAACACTGTGAGGAAACAGCAGAAAGGCTTCAGTTTGCGAAGAAGCGCACTGATTGATCCTCTGGAGCTCTGTAGGAAGATCATGAGCTCTTTGCACGGACGGCGCAGACGTCACATCTGCATGAGCAAAAAGCGGCTTTCTTGCTTCTGTTTTGAGTTACCATGACAGCTCGAAAAGACACAGTCGTATTTCAGAAGCAAATAAAGCAATACTATGAACATTGTTGACTTCCAAATATAATGGGATTTTAAGTTTTGAAGGATTTCCAAACGATCCTGAATGAAGAAGACGGTGGCTTGTAAATATCCCCCTCGACAAGTTAAAGCTAATACCACACAGCAAAGTTTGCAGTCTTCACTTCACTCTGGATCAGCTTCTTCAGCCAAAAATGACCGGGGGGACACACAGACGGTAAATAAAGGAGCCGTACCTGTGTTATTTCCATGGGATCACTTCTGAAAGAGCGAATGTATGGAAACGAGTGAGCAGACCAGAGCCAGACAGCCGAGCAACAGATCTGCCTGTACACACTGCTGTAAACACTGCTGTAAACACCGTCCTATCTGAGCTCTTCACAATAAGCATGCAAAGGTAATAAAATGAAATAACACGGAAACCTTAAGGAACACGTCCATATTTTTCTAAAAGCAACAACTTTGAACCTGAACAGTCAGCTGAACTCAAACTCTGACACCAGAGCTGCTCTACTGTTAAGCTATGGGCTTGTTGTGCTTCCTCATGGTAATCTCCTCTGTTACGCGACCTCTGACACTAACGACAATGAACACATATAATATACTTGAAAATAAATACAAAATAAGGTAAAAAAAAAAAAAGTCCATTGGAATGGATTAAAATGTTTAGATACTTAAATAGCACATTTTTATAAGAAAAATGTCAGAACATTCATACTTTAGCATAAGCTAAAGTTGATGTTAGTCATAAAGTAAAACTCACCTTCGTATCTGTCAATGTATAACGAGCTGTACATCTTAAAACCTTTCTCCAGCTTACTTGTTACTTACTTACTTAATTGTTACCTTGGCCAAGCCCTGCAAGCACCTGGAGTAAAATTATATTTTCAATAGATGGGAAATAGCCGAGCCGCTTTTCCCCGAATGGGAAAGCTGACGTGCAAAGAGCCCCTTTCAGAGAGAAGAGGGGCAGATAAAGAGAAGGCCATGGAGGCAGCATTATCATGTGGGGCTGCTGCAGCTGATCAGGGTCTTTTGCATGTTCTAGGTTAGAATCAGCTCAGTGGTTTGACCCCCATCATCACCACCTAATGGTGGTGAAAAGCATTGTGGAGCAGAGCATCCACTGAGATGTTTATGTTGATACTTTTTCACTCTGACACAGAGGAAGGAAATACTGATCCCAGATTAGCGCCACAGCTCCACAATCTATCGCCTGCATCTGAAACACCGCCGGACGGCAGGAAGTCAGGACTTTATGCCAGAGGAGATCATGACTCTGGAAATTCTCATCGCTCTCTTTTTTGTCTAATGTGTGTCAACCTGGTGCAGCAGGCTGCTGAGGAGGATGAGGAGGTGGTGCAGCAGGATGGAGAGGCTGTGATCATGGTGGAAGAGGAGGAGGAGGAGGAAGAGGAAGGGGTGGTGCTGCAAGAAGAGGAGGGTTCTCCGGCCGTCATCGTGGAGGAGGTGCCCAGTGCTCAGGTGGAGGAGTGCTACTCGGCCCAGGTCCTGGTGTACGATGACGGGACGTACCTGATGCAGGACGTGGCTGAGGAGCAGGAGGTGGTGACGGAGGCGGCTGAGTCCGGTGAGTCCTCCACTCTCTGACGGCAGGTGTAGGCTGCCCTCTGCTGGCAGGAAGCAGGTGTCGTCTTTCAGACCGAGTTACAGGAAACAGGAAGGGAGGAGCAGACTGCTTCTGCAGACCTCAGACCAGGAAGTAAACATTTCAAAATAGTGGCTGGCATCACTGCAGCTTCTGAATTCAGCTGTTTTCACAGCAAATAGGTCAGGAAGCGGGTTCTGGATGGCTAGGGTCTGACCTGAGCGCCTCTGCTCAATGAGCCAGGGGTTGTTGCTTTGACCACCTTTTATTTGCTCTGTTTGCAGTGGAGATGTCAGGCCACGACATGGTGTGCTTTGACAAAACCTTTGAGGCAGCTGAAGCTCTGCTGCATATGGAATCACCTGGAGGCCTTCACAATGACCGCAGCACAGGTAAACACTGCCAGCTCTCTGACTGAATATCCTGCTATAGGAAAGAATAGCACCAAAATTATATCCATAAATAGAAGTTTGGAAAATGAATTGTCTTTTGTTGTTTTCTCGGTTTGCGTTGAATCAGAGGCTGTTTTAACTGAATTATTCCAAACAGAAATAATATTGTATTTTGTTGTTTGTCTCACGTTGCTTGAATAATCAGAGTTGAAAGCTAGTTATAGTATAAAGTGTGAGGTGTGCAGTGTGTAAATGTGTCTTATGTGATCATCAGAGGATGTGATGATGGAGACAGTGGTGGAGGTTTCTACTGAGTGTGGGCCCATTGAAGAGGACTCCTTCCCCATCCCTCCTGAATGTGAGCCTGCAGCCAAGAAGAAGAGAGGAGGTCAGTGTGTGAATGTTCTGGAAACCAGTGGTTTTAGAGATATCTTTAATTAGAATTATGACTAGTCAAAACCACAATATCTTGAATTTACTTTTTGACTAGTCATAATTTAATTGTAGATATCTGACATGTGTAGTTCAGATAGTCAGTAATTCATTGTAGATATCTTGAATTGAAGTCCCCATACAAAACAATGGTAAATCTGACGTCATTTTGACTAGTCAGAATGTAATTAGAGATGTCTTAAATTGCTAAAACGTCTAGTCATAAAACAATTTGAGATATCTGGAACGTAAGGGCAGTAAAACCGAATTTATGTTAAAAAGGCTTGGCATAAGCAGAGGTTTATGTGAGAGCAGATGGCAAACAACTGGAAAGAGTAAGGCTGCAAGACTGTTTTTTGTTTGTGTTGTTTTGGCGAGGTTAAGGCCAACAGTAATGGCGTGTTGCTGTTTTCAATAAATTTTACTACTTCTCGGCATTCTGGCAGAATGCGACTATATGAACGTCAGAGCCGCATGGAACCGTCAAGAAGCCGCATGTGGCTCGCGAGCCACAGGTTGGCCATCCCTGAGTTAGTGGATCTAAAAACATGATGTAACGCTGATTTCTAGAACCGACCCAAGTCATGAATGAACTAAGAAAATATCAATATAGTTAAACTTAATTTAATGATTTCTGTCTGCATACAGAAGTTAACCCAGTTGTTCCCAAAGATATTCTGGGGCCCCCTATGGATTACAATAAAACCCCCCAGAGAGAAAAAAACCAACTGGTGTAATGCATTGTTCAGCCAGAACTCCACTGAAGTTCATTTCACACTTCACTCCAATTAAACTAGAATCTCTTCTCCAAGATTTCACTAGATCCTTGTTGTAATGCTCTTAGTGGTGCCGATATATTTAGCAGCAAGAGGGGCCCCTAAATCAAATTCTACTCAAGACCCCATTCAACAGCAGGAGGAGAGAAGAGAGGAAATAAAAAAGTGATATTGGTGTGCGTTGACCACAGGTGGACGTAAGCCCAAAACGCAGCAGCCTGCCTCCAACGGCTCCTATGACCTAGGGATCAAGAAGAGGCCGAGGGAAGGAAAAGGTTGGCTCTAGTTTCACATCCTAAGCCTCATTCTGTAGGAACGCTCCTTTCATCTGGTTTTCATGCTGTTCTGTGTGTGTGTGTGCTCTCCAGGAAACACCACATATCTGTGGGAGTTCCTGCTGGAGCTGCTGCAGGATAAAAACACCTGTCCCAGGTACATCAAGTGGATGCAGAGAGACAAAGGCATCTTCAAGCTGGTGGACTCGAAAGCTGTGTCCAGGCTGTGGGGGAAGCACAAGAACAAGCCTGACATGAACTATGAGACCATGGGCCGCGCCTTGAGGTCAGCTCCTGCTTCCACTTTCTTTTTATTTATTAATTGGTTGGAATGATCTAATTTCTTGATATTCTAGCTTTTACCTTTTTGTGGTAGGTATTACTACCAGCGAGGGATCCTTGCAAAGGTCGAGGGTCAGCGACTTGCTTACCAGTTTAAAGAAATGCCCAAAAACATCCGTGTGATCGATGACGATGAGGGAGGCATGGACATAAAGATGGAGGACAGCGAGGTCATTGTGTCCGGCCAGCTCCCGGTTCACCAGCAGAGCCCTGCCAGCCTAAGCACCCCTGTCAACACCCAGCCCCAGCAGACCTACGTCACTGTCATCCCCAGCAACGCCTCCACCAGGTCTGACACACTGCACTGTCTTACTTTAGGGCGGGGCCATATGGCTGTTTAAAAAAAAACTGAATTCTTTCATTTGAATTCTGACTTTAATCAGTTTAATCAATTTTTATTTTCTTAAAAAGACGTTACAAATGTTGGCTTGATCTGAATACCAAGTCCAAAGAAACACAAACTGAAAAACATTAAAAACAAAACAACGTGGAGCACAATCACTCTGAACCATGGAACCCAAGGAGTGCATTGGTGAAAAACGAACACAGTTTTCCAAATATTAAATCTTCAGAAACAGAAAATTTGACTAAATTATAAAATTGATTTATTATTTGATTGGCCAATAAGTCAACAAACAGCATCTCCACCACTGTTATCAAACCCTGTCGAGATGTGCTCATATTTACACACGGTGAGGAGCACACTGCCAGTGGAGAAACAACCAACTGGGCTAGAAGCTAATAAGATGTCAGCAGGCTGGAGTGACTCTGGATAACAAAGCCTACAGCTTTATGTTCTGTGTTTGTTTTCATGTCTCCATGTGGGATGTCCTCAAAAGTTCCACTCAGTCCTGGTTTCAAACAGTGACCATGTCAGAGACTTTGATCAACAGTCGTATGAAATGGGTCTCAGTAGTGACTCTAAGGGTGCCACAATGACCCAAAGTGACCTGACCATGTGTCTTAGTCTGTCAGCTGCTTCTCACTTACATGATAGAAGCTGATCTGCCTCAGCTTCATGACCCCTGACCTCTCCCGTTCTTCTCCCGCAGGCCCATCCGAGCCATGCCACTGGTCATGACCAACTCTCTAGGCCAGGTGACGCTAAATTCCTCCCCCATCCTCACCACCACAGGCGTCCCAGTGACCGTAGCAAAGGCCTCCACCAGCGCTCCCCCCAAGCTGGTGATCCAGGCGCTGCCCACCATGCTGCCCGCTGGCTCCAAGGCCGGAGAAAAGATCACCATCATCACCATCCCAGCCAACCAGCTGGCCACGCTAATGCAGACTAACCCCCCAGGCCAGGTGGCTCAGATCATCCAGGCCAAGCCGGTGGCCACCCAGCTGCCTCCAGCCGCCATCAAGCCGGCCACCATCCAGCTGGCGCCCGGCCGGACCGCGCCGCAGCTCATTCTGGCCAAACCGGCCGCAGTCGCCCAGGCTCTGCCGCAGCTCCCGTTGCAAGTGGGCCAGCCTTGCCCTGCAACCCCCACCATCCCCACACATCAGCACCCCCAGCCCCAAGCAGCACAATCAGAGGGGGCGGAACCTCCGCCCCTCTCCAGCCCAGCAGCAGCAGAGGCATCGTCCTGAAAACCTGACCTGAACTGGGGGGGGGGGGTTGGCGATGGAGTGGTGGTACTGCAGGAAGTGACTGTAGACTCTGCTCAGGAAATGAAGGACATGTCCTCTCTCTACACCTTCAGATGAGAGCTGCTTTATGATTGGCTGTTATCACAGCCAATCATAAAGCTCCCCCCAGAGGATCAAAGGGACGAATGTGTACACACACACACGCATATAGTTCCCTCAACACTCAAACAACATGGGCAGCCTTAGATTGTAAATGGAAATCTGTCTTTTTGTAATCAGCCCTGATAGAAAGACTTTATGGTGTAAAAACATTTTTGATACTCAGCAACTTAAATGTGGAATCAGACATTGATTCAGTCTCCAGTCACACACACACACATACACGCACACACACCTGCACACACACGCACACACACAGCCTCTCTGCTACAGCTGCTTGACTTCAGAGTGAAGAGCAGAGAACACTATGCAAAGCCTGAACACAGGTTTATCTCACTCTGAGCAGAGACCAAACTGAAAAAACAAAAAATCATCTGACTCTGTCCCCTGCTGGCCACAAACAGGTTTGTGGGATTTATCTCTTCATTGTCCAAGCAGAAGCTCCATCAGCTTCTGCAGTCCATTGGTTTCTTCTCAGCGCCCTTGGTCTCTCTGCTTCTCTTTTTTTACTTTTCCTTAAAAGGGAATCAATAGGATGTCTGCATCCATGTCAGTGAACTAAGTAAGCCCTGCATTTGAAGCATAATATACTATTTTTTTTTCTTGTACTATCAGTGTATTGAAGTAGATTTTACTGAAATATGTATTATAAAAAAATACAAATGTGAAAGAAAACAGTGTGACTTTTTTATTCAGGTGTGTAGAAATGACTTCACAGCCTTTAGTTCTGAGAAATGAACAGATGGAAGATCTTTTCCTGTCAGTAATGTAGAATATACAGCTGCAAGTGTTGCTCAATGTTGCAGATTTTCAGAAATAGTTTGAAAGTACTTTTTTTTTTGCCTTTTTATTTTCTTAAAATCAAATTTTAAGAAAATAAAATATACAAATCTACTTGGTGTAGGTGTGCAAAGGTGACAAGAACAGTTTTCTTTGCACAATCAGGGTTTCCCCAGAAGATGGCGCCACTGGTCTATTCCACGATGACCAAGAAAACTCATTTCAGCTGCTTGTATGGGTGATCTCGTTCTTTCAGTCATGAGCCAAAGCTCATGACCACACATGAGGGTGGGAATGTAGACTTTTTTTTATCATTTTTAAAATTTTATTTATTGAGATGATAAAAGAAAAAACCTTGAACACATTGATCAACAGGTTTTGCATGTCATTCAATACATTTTCTCTTGGTTTTCTCATCTGGGGTGTCAGACACACCATGCACAATAAAGTGTAGGCAGTGATGTCAGCCAGTTGGTTAGATAACTAGTGTTGGCTAACTTTGAAGAAGGCTAATATGTTGATTCGTGACACTAACTGTCACGGTACTCATGACTCACACACACATACACACATTTGTGAGGTAGAAAATAGAGATAATAGAGTTCTTACTGTGTAAAATATTATTACTCAGTTATTACTTAGGACTCAGTGTTTATGGTTCACAAAAAATGTTTTCCTGACAGTCCCAGTTGGTAAGAAACAAAGATTCCCATTAAATTCCATAGGAAATGAACGAGGGTCATTTTTGACCCACTTAATGGGGTAGTGATATGCCTACATGCTATTTTTCTAAATGTATGAAAGGTAAATAAAAAATTTTAATTACATGATATCAGTAACATATTTGAGGAATACCTGGAATATGAAGTGATGAAAACTTTTCATTACAAAGATATTGCAAAAAGATGATCTTACCGGGTCAAAAATTACCCACTTACACATCAGAGGGTTAAGAAAACAGGAATTGTACGTGTCCAGCTCCCAGAGGCCAGGCTGCCATGCTCCCAACACCACCAGGCTCTCTGACCTTCACCAGCAGGAAAGGTGGGTGAAGGGTCTTGCCCAAGTAAACAACATCAGATGCAGACAGACAGAGCAGGAATTAAACTAGCAACCCATTGACTGAGGGATGAGCTCCCAGTCACCACCATCATCCCAATTCAAAAACTCCATCAGACCCATGAGAAATGATGTTCATGAGGTTGGACACCTTCCACAAGGAGAGTAAAGAACAGAAGGCTGAAGAAGCTGACTGTTCATGGTGTTAGACAAAAACACATCGATGGAAAATTGAATGGAAGAAAAAAGTGTGGTTTAAAAAATTGAGGATCAAAGGATGTTTAAGAGTTTGGTGGAGATTTTCAGGTCACATGCACTCATATTCAGGTCATGTGATACAGAGAAGTCTCTTCATTTCAGATGAAAGTTTTCATTTCATTTGGAGATCAAGATGCCACAGTCTTCAGGAAGAAAGGCACAGAAATGAAGTCCAGTGTTAAGATTCCACAGTCAGTGATGGTTTGCACCACCTGCTGGTTCCAAAAAAACCTGAACTGTATAATTCTGCAGTATTTAAGATAATTTCATAGATGTGACTACAGATCTGAATTTCAAAAGTCCACTTTCACATCTTGTTTCTCTCAGAAGGAATCGTCTCCCTGTCTGTCCTCTGATGTGACAGAGTTCACTGGACTGTCTTCTGCTGCCCCTGCAGCGATGATGCTGAAATAATCAGAACTTTCTTTGGTTTCATCAAACAGTGAAGGTATGTGGGTCTGATTGGACAAACAGGACAGAATGATGTCAACATGAACTGAGTCACAGAAGCATGGACTGATGTTTGCTTCACATAAGTTTTCACATGTCTCTCAGAGAATAACAGGTGAGTAGAAGAAACAATGGCTACAACAAAAGAATAAGTCATTATCAGCTTAAGAGGTGTCCACTTACCACAAACAGAGTTTAGACTTAATGTGCTGAAATCTCTAGGGACTTGGGAATCAACTTCTCTAAGGCAGATTAGTGATTCATCAGCTGAACATGCCTTTGATCCAATCAAACAGGACATGTCTGCTCCTCTTTAACCCACCAGAACCTTTGTTTGTCCTCTGGCTGTGACTGATGTTTTACCTCTTAGTGTTAGGTCCCGCTGTCTTCCTTTCAGAGCATTCTGCTTTCCGTTTCTAACCCGTCAGGCTGACTTCACCTTCATTCCTCCTGTTTACACTCAGAAAGTGGAACCAGCTCCACATTTTCCCTCCTGTGTGTTCCAGCACCTCCTCTTCACAGCTCCCTGGTGTGCAGAGAATTTCTTTAGAAATGAATGACTAGTGTTGCCTGGTCATATTCTGTCTATGACTAATAAACAAACTAAGCTGGAATCCAGGGAGCAGATTCTCCTAGATTCTCAGAGTTTCAAGAACATTTCATTCATTTGCTGAGCAGAGGTGGATGGAAAATATTGATACCACATCACTATCAGTATTGGGTCAAGACTTGAGTTTCAGATTTTCACTTATAATTTTATTTTTGGGCTGTAGTGTCTGAACCTCAGAAAAGACTTTGTCTTGATTCGCTTTCATGATAAATTTTTGCACCCTCATTTTTACATTTCTATTGTTGTTTGTCTTGTTAATGTTACAAACACCTATAAACTTTGCCCAAATTCTATCCTAGATTTGAATAAAATAATTCAAATGAAAAAAAAAAACACCTTAAATTCAGAAGTTTGATGACGTATTAAACTTAAATCTAAAGTGTTGGTATCAACAGTACTGACACTACTGGTATCGAATTAACACCAAAAATTGCAGTATTGCAAGAATTCAACAAATATTTTTTTCTTGTTTAATGCCGGTTCATAAGTATCTTAATGGATCATGACTGCTCCATTAAAAAAATGTATCTAACAGCCAGCAGACTGAGACAGGAAGTGATTGAAGGCAGGATCAGGTAGACACCATTCAGAGTAAAAACAATCACTTTATTACCGATAGTAATCATAAAGTGTTGTTGCCGTCCTGACAATAACATGACCCCCCAGTGCCCACCCACATCACTACCCAGTACAGTAGAACCTTACAGAGTGTAAGGAATAATTTAAGACAGTCAGGCTATTTATAAATAACTGCACTGATCAAATGTCAGCCCCTCCTCCATCCCCCAAACCCCCCAGCTGTTCAGTCTCACCATCAGAGTTCCAGCAGAAGAGATTCTACCGCAGCCAGCTTCACACAAACAGCATCAGGTCAAAGGTCAGGTTCCTCTGATGTGGCTGTCCTGGTTTCAGCTGGAGCTGTGATTGGCTGCCTACAGCAGCCTGTGAGGCCCCTCCCTGAAGCTGATGTCACAGAGCAGGGCCAGGTGGTCTGAGGGGTAGTGGTATGAGGGCAGGCGGTCGGGTCCGATCTGCTGCTCTGTTGGGATGTCCAGCAGCGCTTCCACCCTCAGGGTGCGCTCGCTGTACCAGATGTAGTCTAGAGTGCTGCAGCTCTCTCCAGATGGGCGGATCTTCCAGCTGGTGTACGCCGGCTCTGTCTGCCCGTCACTGCTCAGCAGCTTGTAGGCGGAGCTCAGGCCCAGAGGGGAGGAACTAAAGCGCCTGTAGATGTCCTCTGAGGGCTCAGCGTTGAAGTCCCCGCAAACCACTAGAGGGACGGGCCCCTGCCCAACCTCTGATCCAGGGGCCGTGATGCCCTGCAAGCTCTGCAGCAAGTCAGCGCCTTGCGCACTCCGCAGCCTCTCCCAGCCGCTGCGGGCCTTCAAGTGTGTGACGGCCACACACAGCTGGCGGCCTGTGGCCAGGCAGCCAAGGGTCTGGGCGATGGCCACCTGGTTGGTGGGCAGCATCATGGCCGACAGCCGCAGGTGGGCTGTGGAGTGCAGGTGGAAGCGCGAGCGGCGGTAGAACAGCGCACAGCCGTCGGGGCCGTTGTTGTGCTCCACATCCAGACAGGGAGACCAGGGTTTGGGGAGGAAGTTACCATGGTAACCGAGGCGCGCCATAATTGGCTGAAAAGTGTCATAGTAGTGGTCGACTTCCTGCAGACACACAATGTCGGGTCGGTAGGTGAGAATTTCCTCCAGGATCTGGTACTTCCTCTCATGCCAGTTGAGAGCCTCTAGTGGGCAGCGAATGAAGCTGTCCTTCCCCTCACCCAGAGCTGGACACACAGACACATAGTATGAACTCACAGTAGCTGACAGAACACACCTCCTCTCATCATACAGAGCCTTCCTTACCTTGGGCCAGGATGTTCCACTGCAGGACCCGTATGGATGGGTTGTGCTGGTGGCTGCAGGGAGCCACCAGCTTGGGCAGAACCAGGTCCCGGTGAGGCCGGGCAGGGCGCCGCCGCAGTGCCTCCTCACACTCTCTGAGCAGCTCCTCCGGCTCCACCTCCACCAGGTCCTGCTCTTGATCCAGGTCCGGGTCAGGCTGGGTCAGAGAGGAACTGCTCAACGCCTGGGCCATCGTCCCAAACAACCTGCAACTGCTACTGCTGCCCATTGGACAAACTGTATGTGTGGGAAGAGGGGGGGAGGGCAGGACAGAGACACATTAGTCACAAGAAGCTGGCGTCAAAGGTGAAACATGGTGGTAGAGAACTGCACTGAGGTTGACTTGCTTCAGCCTGTAAAGCTGTGGTTCTGTTAATTAAGGTCAAGTCCAGTTTATTTGTAGAAAACTTTTCAGCAACAAGGCAGATCAAAGTAATGTACATCATAAAACATCACACAGTCAACAATTATGAAACAAACAATAAACATTACATTTTGTCAAATGCCATCATCAAAGTCAAGAAAACCTACATCAAATATATTGATCAATGTTCAGTTCTGAATCTAAGGCAGCTGTAAACATTGTCTCATCCCCACATAAATGAGCTGCAACAGTTTACATATTAACTTATTGCAGTTCAATTTATTAATTCAATTGGTAACATTTAATCCAGACTGCTCAGTGATCCTTAAAAGGGAAAATGTGCAAATAATCTGTGCTCAGTTCTTAATGGTTGAAGTTAAATGACCACACCAGTATGAGTAGGAAACTACTTCTGCTGACTGAACCAGCAGCCTATTGAGCACTGCTGCCACCTAGTGACTAGAGGCTGGTTTATGGTTCAAGCCTCTAGTGAATAAAAGATCCACCCATCCATCAGCTTAAGGATAAAATCCACTAGGAATTCACCTCTTAACTGCTGCCTATCTCCAGCGGTCAACAGGTGGTTGTCGTGGGTGTGTGTGTGTGTTTGGGGTGGGGAGGGAGTAATCACCCTGGAGATCCCACCAGTCCATCACAGGGTAACACAGAAACAGACAGGACACACCTACACACCTAAGGAGAATTTAGAGAGACCTATCAACTTGACAGTCAGGCTTTGGACTGTGGGAGGAGAGAACCCACACATGCACAGGGAGAACATGCAAACTCCACACATAAAGAGAGCCGGGATTCAAACCCAGGACCTTCTTGCTGCAAGTCAACAGTGCTACCAACTGTACCACTGTGCAGCCCATGAATAAAAAAATATGAATACCAGAGGGAGTGAGACACAACTCATCACCTCACTATTTGAAATGAACTGCTTTAAAGAAATTGGATCACGGGATCCAACAGAGGAGGAAGCCAGGTACCAATGGTCCCATGACCTAGAACATTCCTACAGCTAGGAACCCAAACTTGAACATAACTACTGCACCAGAGTTACAGTACATATATGTACAGGGCCAGAAATTTATCTATAATAAATAGATAAATGTGGTTGTCTAAAGACAAAGGACCATGCAGGGTCAAGTCAACTGCAAAGTGTAATTACCAGCTGCACATCGGTAAACAAGACTTCAGTAAGCTGAGAGAAAGGCGATTCTGCTCCCCTGCCAGGTCTTACACTAAACAGCTTTGAAGGAAACTCCTAAGCTGCAGTGAGAGTCAGCATCTGTGATCTACAACAGCTAACCACCAGGTGGAGGAAGGAGGGGTCTTACCCAGGGCCTCCATCTTTGGTCAGATTTGAATCCACAGAGCAGGATGGTCCGTCTGTCTGTTAGTTCCTTCTCTGATAGTCCTGCACTGGAACGGCCCTTCCTCCTGTCTGCTGTGACTCAGCTTAGCGTCTCATCCTCTCTGACTCAACAGGCCCCTCCCCTTCCTGCTGACTGGGCGACAGTGACCTCTGGGAGATGCACTAAGCCAGGCTCAGACCAGAACAGCTATTTCATTGTGATGAAGATGGGAGTTGTTTAACAGATGAAATGTGTATTTAGACAGAGGCTCAGAGTTCAGAACCATGTTAGTGCTTTTCTGAAGAAATTCTTTATTGCTAAAATGAGAAGTGTATGTTACAACTTCTACACTCAGACCTTAGAACTTTAGAATAAATTTTCTCCACATCAATCTGGAGTGACCAACATGTGATGGTGTGAACCTCCAGAAATTAACACAAGATCTAATCTTTTTCTAGGAGGTCTGGATGTGAAAACAACCACAGTATCTGAAACCAACAAGAAACTCAGGCTCTGATCTGAACCACTCCTTCACATCACATTGCTGCCATAAACCCTGAGAATGCAGGTAATGATATATTTCCATCTATCCGTGAGCCCATTAACATAGCACTGTGAGAGGTAAAACATAATAACTCCAAGATAAGGAAAAAGAAAAAAAAAAAAAAAAAAAAAAAAAAACACTTTCCTTTTGCATTTTCTCCTCCGGTTAGGCAAAGTCCGGTGCCGTCTCTCAACTGATTTGAACTGAAAATCTAACCAATCAGATCAACCAGAATAGTTACCACGCTAACTGACTGATGTGCCCTCTAAACAGATAAATGGAGCTCAGTCTGAGAAGTATTCTGTCACAGACTGTCAGGATGGACGGATGTATGTGACCTTCAGAAATGCAAGTGTGGAAGCAAACTACTGCTGAGATCTAAGAAACATGCAGATAGTCACAGGGTTTTGAATCACAATCCCTCAAAACCAAAACTCAGAACCACATCAGGTCTGTTCCATAAGATCAAATGGATTGAACTTGTGTAGTATTTTCTATCCATCTAATCCACACACTGACAGGCGGCAGTATCAACAGCTTTACTGTCTTGCCCAAGGGCGCTTTGACATGTGGCGGGGGAAAGCTGGAGTCAAACTGTTTTCCACTGATCCCCTTCCTCTACCAGAAACACAAACTGATACTTACACCACCTACATCCTACGTTGCCCCGGTTCCAGTCAGTCCGAAGGATCTCCACGGAACAACTGTCTGTCTCCACCCGTCCTCTCTGTTGGACCTTCAGTCATCCCACAGTCTTTCTCCTCTGAGTGGTGCCAAGTGACAGCACAGTCACAAGAATGGTCTTGTTCTCCCTCAAACAGGCACACACAAAAACCAGGCCAAGTAGGCAGTGCAATAAGAAGCTCAGTTAACGGGAACGTCAGGCTACATGGCGGAAAGGCAAAAAATCTGACAAATCTGAAAAACCCCTGACTCAATGAACTCTCTGACCTTAGCACCCAGAGAGTTTTACTATTCTGAAGCAATCTATCATATTCTGTCCAATTGTGTAACATATGGAAATGATGCAGAACCTGCACAACATAGCTAGTAGCTAATATTACTGTCACTAAGAACAAGAAGTTCAACATCCAAACTGGAACACTAAACCAAATCACTCAAGGAACATTGTTAGCTCTTTTTCCTGGTATTTTAAGCATGAAGTCTCAGGACAGTACACATTTACTCCAGAATAGCTTGGTGGCACACATTCAGCTGTAGAAGAATGAGAACCCACAGCAGGACCAATCACATGTCCCCACTAAATGAATTACCAGGAACACAAATTAAATTCACTTACACAGAATGTGAAAGAAATGACAGTAGATCATGTGATGGATCTACACAGAGAGTCACTGAGGAACTAATTACAGAACCATTAGCAGCTATGAGCACTGAATGTTCCAATAATGAGGAGCAAAAGCTGGAATATTTTCCATTGGAAGAGAATCTGATAGAACAATGAATAGATGGTACTGAATAACCCAGTCTCTCTTGGATATTGAGGCAGGGACAACAATCCTGTTAAAAGAAACCATTGTAATTCCCATTGGACCAATCAAACTGGACAACGTCAACATAATGATTGGATCCAAGGGTTCCAACTGGGACATGGAAGAAGTGCAATGGACTAATGAAAAATTAACAGAACTTAATCTGAACTCGTTTTTTTTTTTTTTTTTTTAAAGGATATTAGAAAGGGTGCTCCAACTACCAAGGGCTCACACTTCTTTGCCTCTATGGAAAAGCTTCCTGTAAGGGTTGAAGAGGAGATTTAAAATCTTTACCATAAACTGAATTCAGAAGCAATGCAGCTTTTATCTCAGTCACACAACAGTGAACCAGGGAACTTTAGCTGTGTGGTTAACTGGCGTTTTGTTGCGTCAGAGAAGGCTCAGGACCATATCTCTTGAGGTACCAGTGAGACCTTTTAGGACCAGATTCCTGATACCATGTCAAACTCTGTGTGAAACATGATGATCTAATCCTGCGTTTTACCAATGATGTGGTTCGGTTGGCTTCTTTCTTAACCTATGGTGTTCAGCCTGCCTAAGTAACGCACACTGAATGTGCGTTGTTCAGAGTGTAAACAATGTGTGAAACAGCACATTAGCTGTCACCCTGTGAAAAACTGACAGCCTGAAATCTAAGTTTACTCAGTCCTTGACAGAGACAGTGGGCTGCTGAGTCACAGCTGATCTGGTAGACATAAAGCCAGCAGGTTCAGATAGTGGATCTCCACATTGGAAGTTATGTCCCCTTAATATGGAAATGAACAGTCATTTTAAAAAACCTTAAAAAGTCAGCTAAAACAGTGTTGGACTAACCAGCTGTTAGCTGGACGCTTTGGAAAGTTCCAAAGCGTCTGAACTTTCCAACAAGGTCATGGTGACACAACAGATAAGGCAAATATTGCTAGTAAAACCGTCATCTGATTAGCCCTCATCAGCACTACTGTACTAAATTTGTACTGTGCCTGTTAAATATTTCCTTGCAAAGGGTACAAAGTACATGCCCTGCTGATCCATAATCAGCAGGGCATTGTCTGTCTTCATGCATTATTGATTTCAGCTCTTCAATCTCATCTAGCTGACTCAACTTATCAGAACAGAAACCAAGGCAGACCTAGATTTACTTCACCTTGTGTAAATCATCTGTTGACTGAAGTCCTAGATCAGTTACGCAATAAGCCACATTGAGACTATTAAAGCAGAGATCAGCATGAAATGTTTGAATAATTTCAGTTTTAAAACACTCAGGCCTAAATAAAAAAGAAAAGGAATAAGTATTGAACTGTTTACAGGGAAGGATCCAGGAGAATTGGTTTAACCATTTGAAGACCTGGCCATTTGTCAGCACCTCTTATTCACTGCTACTTTGAGAAGAGAAGTGAAGAGTCATGGAATACAGACGGAAGTAAAGAGAGAATGAGCCAGAGGAGATTACTGGGCTCAGGTACCTGCCGGAGGATCATCAGGATCAAGGTTAAGGTTCATCCTCTCTCAGAGTTTTAGTGGTGGCAGGAATAGAGGGGACTTGGCAAGAACAATGACACACCATGTAGTTAGCTACAAAATGCCTCATACTGCTGGAATATTAGGATTATAAGAAGTATTTAAATTTATGTATGTATTTCTTATAACTGGAAGCAATTTTAATGTTTTGCCTCAACTCAAATTTGACAGAGAATCTGCAGGAGAAGTAAAAGATTGGATGGCAAGAAGGTTTTCTAATCTTGAAGCTAATCCCTTTGGATAAATCCTCAAAATGCTGTAAGCAGGGTCTGATGCCAGTAAGCCAATAAAGATTCAGTGATTGACTTTTGAGAAAGATAAAAGTAGTTTTTGACTTTTTTTTGTTTTACAAAATATATATAAAAATAAATATTTAATACAAATTCATGACAAGATGGTCATTTCTCATTTCCTGGCAGACACATCTTGGTGAAGTAAAATTAATCTTAACTCTAAATCCACCAGGCTTATGAATAAATTTGGGGTTTACCATGCATTGCAGACCTTTTATTTGTGTAAATATTTTAGAAAAGTTTATGCATTCTCAGAACCAGAACCAAACACAGAGAAGCAGCATTCAGCTTACGCACCACCAATCTGGAGCAAACTTCCAGAAAACTGCAAAACAGCTGAAACACTGAGTTCCTTTAACTTAAGACTAAAGCTCCACCTGTTTAGAGTTTATGGATGACCATTGGTAAATGGAACATTGACCAATATATTCGACATGTACTGATGATTTTGGTGATGGCTGTCATCAAAATGTAATATTTGCCCCTGGTTTTTCAATTGTTGACGGCATGTTTGACTTTGAACTGCCTTGTTGCTCAAATGTGTTTTATAATTAAACTTTATTGGTTGATTGATGTTTTTGGGTCTAAAGAATGTAAAACTCAAAAAAGATGACAAGCTTGTTAAATGTTCATGAAATAAAGTTAGAAGTATTTGAACATGATAAAAGTGTATGTGTGGATGCCAGAGCACACAAAGAGAAAGAAAAAGCACAGGCAGGTCAAGGTACTCTGCATTTTCCCTTTTTTGCTGCTTTCTTATCAGTTCAGTTATGTGGTCTGCTACAGCTATAAAAAGTATCAATAAACAGGGAATAGGTCTGTGAACTGAACATGTGACAGAGGGTCAACTGAAGGAGTCAGGGATGATGCTGGTGAGAGGTTTATAGCAGAGATGAGAATAAGCTGACGTCTTCATCTGCCCTTAACCATACAGACAGGTATGTTAATGTTTGCAGATTTAAAGAGGATCAGCAACTAATGAGGTAGATTAGCTGTGCCTGGTAATGACTGATGGTGTCACTCAGAAAATGTGACTGTGGAATATTATCTTTGTTGCCAGCAGTGTGATGAGCTGCTGGCATATCATGATAGCAAGAGTCTTCAGTCAGAGGCCTCTTCAAATATGTGGCAAGTCTGACTGCTACATACTCATCAATGACTCTTTGAAGATAGCTGGATGATATGATTCAGAAGAACATTTAATTTCCCTTTGGGATAAATAAAGTGCTTTTAAATTTGAAGTAACTTCTGCTTCAAAGGCCTGCTTGCTGTGGGATTTGCAGAAGTCATGACTCCATCATGCAGCAGAAACTTAATTGTTCTGCAAGAATGACTTCATCGCAAAATATGACACAAATATTTTTGGAATAATTAAGTTTCGTTGAAGGCAGATATGTGTAATAGAACATTTACAACAAAGCGGTTATCAAGCCATATTGTATAGCTTGAAGACGTTACTTTCATATTCTACTCAATTTGGCCATTATGATTATCTGGGACAACAAATAAATAAGCCAGAGTGACACTTCTCTGACATTTTTTCTGTGGGGGGACATCAACCCAGGACCCACAGTTTGACTCATGGAAACGCCTCGTCGCTGCTTGTTGATAGCTCAAAGTGTCTTGGTGACATGTTAATGAAAACAGAGAGTGGTACCTGGTGCTGTTATGATGCTGGCTGCGGCACTCGGCTTCAGCGGGCCACCGGTTCTTCTGACTCCCCCTCCTGCGGGGCCACTGTGACAACAGTGGGCTCCAGTAGAGGCTGACCCAGCCGGTGGAAGTGGTGTCCGGGCTGGCTGTCCCCCCGCTGATGAGACGCATATTTGGCTGAACAAAGCGGAACAACGACGAGCTGAATTCATTCTGAACTGTCGGGAGTCGCACTAAAAAAACCTTTCGTCTTTTCACTATTTTTGATAAAACTGAGTTATTTAATTCAGCTAAAACTTTCTAATGTTCCCCTTCACGCGGCCTCTTCTCTTTCTCTGAAGAAGTGAAGGAAGCCAGAAAGCCGGCCGGTAAGTTACATCATTTTTCTGAGTTACCGACCGCTGGTACGGTCCAAATGTGAAAAGATCTCTTACAAAATCCATTTACAAAAACATATGCCATTTACAAAAATAGTGATTATATTATGTTAAATGTAGATATATAATTAGCTTTTTCCCTAAACAAATTAATATAAACTTCAATTTGAAGAGCTGCTCATCTACCTGTCACCCCCCCTGTGCAGCTGTGGTTTGAGCCGCTCTGAGTTTCGTAAGGTTGAGCGGAAACTCATGAAAAAAGGGCGTTACTCTTCTACATTTCAGCCAATCAGCGTTCTGAAATTTGACAGCATAAGTATGACGAATTTTGACATCAGCAGCGCTCCAGTCACCCCATAGAGGGGACTTCACGTCAGTTAATTGATTTTTGTGAAACTTACTCACTTTTCCGCGGCCAGCTAAGCAGTGATCAGTTCCTTTCTATACTTAATTAAAATTAAAAGAATTTTTTAAAAAATAACCTAAAATAACCATAGAGCATTGACTTACTTAAGCACTCTTCTATATATTCAGCACTCTACTGTACTTTGAACTGATCCATAATTATATTTTTCTGTAATAAATATGTCAATGCTTCATGATTTCTAATCAAGGGGTTTTTACTGAATATCCCCTGTACTTAGAGTCCCATGTTAGAGTTTATCAAGGTCAAACTCCTGTTCAGAAACCATTACGTAACCAGATAAGGGAGCAGTGGTGTCAAAGGTCAGTACAGGCTCTGTGGTGGGTTGTCATCCACCGTCTGAAGGTTGTATGTCTTTTACAATTTTAACGTCACGGATGTCTTTGTGTAAACAAGACAAACGTCATAATAGTAGCAAATAGAAGATGAAACATAGCAGAAGGATGTTGAACACAACTCTTATATGTCTGATGTTTCACAAGTTTTTATCGATCTGCTCACTCTTCCAGTAGAACTGATGGTGAACACAGAGAAGAATCTCTTTAAAAGCTCATCACTCAGCAAGTTACTGGTGTCACATTGGTTGGTAACAAAATACCTCCTGGATATCTAACTCTATGAACCCAAGAGATCTAAAGCTGTTAGTGGCCATTAATTAGTGATGGCCACTAAATAAATAATATTAGGCATTACCAAACGGCTTAACATTCTGTACTGACCCATCCAATGTTCTCTGCTGACGTAAGATTGGTTGATGAAGGTAATAGTTTCTGTCTGGAAACCCGGGCCCTCTCTCTTTCAGTCTCACAGTGTATAGTTTTTCTAGGAAATGAGGAGTCTGGCCAGCGTCTCATCCAACTGAGATGTGGCTGAAGACATGATCTTTGCAGTGGATAGGGCTCAACATGGACAAATAATTTTCCTTAAAATTTGTTTTTCAATGGGGAGGAACATCCTGGCCTGCAGAATGTGTTGGGAGCCAAGAGGGGGCAGGATCCTATGCTGACCAAATATAAGATTAAACCAAATGTATAACGCTTTAATTTAAACTTATATGCCTACTCACTGTACCCAGGAAAAAAAAGTGTGATGTGCACACACTTTGAACGGTGGAATGGCCAACATTTAAAAATTTAAACCATAACCTGATGAGAGGAACCAGTGACTACTGAAACAACCTTTTTTGTTGCTGTTTTTGCTGTTTACTTGTTTGATAGTGACCTTTTGCAGAGCTTCTACCAGAGCTTCTTTGAATTTTCTATACCAGCAAAAATGCTAATAAATAAATAAATGAATAAATAAATAAATAAATAAATAATGACAGATACGCATCAGCCCAACTCACCTCCCTTCTGGGGTAATTTGTAGTTGTTGTTTATGTGCTTCCATCTAGTGGTCATCTAGTAATACTGCGCAAATTGGACAGTCAGCCATAGTTTTTAGTTTCAAAAAGTAAAATGAGTAAATACTGGAAAGCTTTTGGGTGTTTTTGATTTTTCACTTAGTCATTGTTTCTTTAATTACTACTGACCTTTACCAAAACATATTTCACAGATTTAAAGTTGATTTTAGTGTCATAAAAGAAATGTTTCTAAATTTTGCTTTTGAAAGACACGCTAACTGAGATTATTGTTGATTTACATGGAACCAAATAGACCTGACTTTGTGAAAAGTCAGGTCTATTTGTCTATTAATAATCACTGTTATCCAGAGATCATTAATTGAAGCAACATATTAATTGAGAAGTGCCCCCCAAATTTTCCTCATGTAAGAGTATCATTACTCCAACATATTTTTACTCAAGTAAAAGTAAATCATAGCAGTCCAATAATTGACTGAAGCATAAGAAAATGTTTTAGAAACTCTACTCATGTTCTTAGTAATTGATCATAAAATCAGAGTCAATATGTTACAATAACGTCATCAAAGAGAAAAAAAAAAAGCGTCAATTATGCATAATTTCTGATATTTCTAAGACAAAAATGAAGCATTAAAGCCTGAATACAAAATCTTTTTATGTCACACATCTCCGATTTCTATTCATAAAAACATTTTGAAATCATGCATTATTTTTCTTTCACTTCACACTTATGGGTTACTTTGTGTTAGTCTGTCACAAAATCTCTATATTTTTTGGATGAACTGTGACAAAATGTGGAAAACTTGAAGTCGTACAAATATCTCTGCATGGCACCTCATTCTGACTTTAGTAGCTGCACCTCACCAGACTCTTCAACTTGTTCCACTGAAGCTTTAATGTTGTATGATATGAATTCTGGTAATACTTTGTTTTTGCTGCCTTCATATCTTTGCTGCTCACCCATCTGTGCCCCGTCCAGCTGCCATCTTGAAATGATCTGCACACTAGTTTACACGGCTCATTTCACTTCTCTCTGACTCTGTAACAAGCTGAGCCAAGTATGAATTTCTCTGGCTGCCATCATCTTTGCTAAATGAATGCTGTTTGGGACTATCATTTCAAGTTTTAGCAAAGAGTGTTTAATGAGAGCGGGTGAAAAATAAAATGCCTAACTTTCCCGTTTGGCTGGAAACTCCATGATTTTGAACAACAAACAAAAATAAATCAATAAACATGAGTCCCCTTTGTATTGTTATACAGCCTCAGTTCCTGTTAGATTTCTTAAACTCTGCTCCGTCTTTCTGGTTTGTTTTTATGTCCAGGATTCTTGCTGCTGATTTCCTGTTTTATCTAATGCAGAAATTCAGTGGGGGAAAAAAATTCAGATTACATAATTTACACATTAAGCAGTACACAGTAAGCCCAACAGAATAAACCTTCATAGATGCAAATAAGGTGATGAACAAAAATGTGAGTATTTAATGAGTAATTTCAACTATTCTTTTTGGAATATGGGCTTAATGAACATTACTAAATGTTAAGTAAATTTCAACAGTAAAAAATTTGCAATTTAAATTCTTTGCAATTTGCAATTTAAATTCTTCTCAGTTTTCTCTAAAACACAAATGGGTAAAATCCTATCTAATTTTGCTGCCATACAAAAAGGTGAACAGTGTTTAAGTTCCTTGTGCCATCAAATTCAAATTCAATTTCAAATTCAAATTCAAATTTAAAAATAGTTAATTAATACCAAAGGAAAGTTAAATGCTGTAACTAATTTAATAACCTAAATTCTACATGTTTTGATGATTGGGCACTAAAAATAAATTTCCCTGAACATTAAAACTGCAGTAAAAATATTTTCTTTTACATATTTGTTGAAACTGTCACTATGTCATGACACTATAGTATGAGACAGATAACATGTAAAAAAAAAAAAAAAAAATTAAGCTCCCCTGACTACTCCCAACTAACTAGAAGTAACCAATCAGAGCCCTGTGAGGGGTCTTATGGCTGTCAATCAACTTTGTGAATGTGCCACCTAAAATGAGGCTGGGAATCAAAGAGAAACATTCTGAGATACCAGGTCATAAGCTTTAGATAAAGCTAATAATTGTTGATAAAAACAGATTAACTGTCAGTTAACAATTGTTCAAATAAAAGTTGTGTTGTCAGAAAAATAGAAAGATGCTTGGTCACAGTTGGAAATAACTTGTATGATTTATAGAATCAGGCTGTTGATTTAGTCCAAACCTGCATGGAGGTGTGAGAGTCTCTGACAGAGATCAGATTTCTGTTTCTAAAGGTTTCAGAAAATAAGCATTCTATTGGCTGCAGTAGAATGTAGTTGATCTAAACAGTATTTTCATCATTGTAACACAGAAATAATGAAAACAAGATTATTAATAATTAGGAACAAACTTTTCAGGAGCAGGAAACAAACCTGAAAAAAGTCTTTTCAGTTTTTACTCCAACATCCTTTGAGGAACACTAGTAGTTCAGGAAATGTTGTTTGCAATTTATACCACTAGATGTCATTATAGTCACAGCCTGCACTATTTTGCAACTAATAAGCTTTCCATTCAGAGCAGCAGATTTTGGGGAGCCGCTTTATCTTGTGACTCTGTGATCAATCACAGATCATTACTGTAATCCCTGTTAGAAAACATACACTGCTGCTGGTTAAAAACAATAAAGTTAGAATCTGACTCCCAGTTTGTAACTCAGAGTTCAAATAAGCTTTGATATTTCTGACATTTTTAAGGAATCTGGGCAGCATTTATCATTTTTAGTTCACTAAAACAATAAACTTCTCTGGTTAAATCTGAGCAGCAGTTTCAGCACACATGCCTCAAAACATAGGAACAAAATTTGCATCCTATGTGGAAACTCCCATTAAATAGCTTATGGGTGCAGGAGATTTAGAGGGAGGAGCCTAGAGTCTAATTTATTTCTTTATTTTTTTCCTCCAATATATATTTGTCTAATGATGTAAGTTATCTTTTCTATTGTTATGTTTGATGCCATCTCTTTAACCCATCTTCCCTTTTGTTGGCCCTTCAGTTTTTCCAGTTTAACCAAAAAGATAAACTGAAGTGTGAATAATTTTTAGTCCCTGGTTACCTTCTGGTTTTCTGGTCTCTTTAGTTAAAATAAACATACCAATTAGTTACTCAGTAAAACAGCATTATTCATAAGAAGTCACTATTTTTACTAATTTATAAATTAATTTTCACAT